CTTAAAATTAATTACAGACTGAAGTGAATTTGCAAATGTTATCCATGGGGCTTTTCTGCCACCTTGCAAACTGCTTGATGAATCTATCTAATGCAAGGGAAGAACACTTGGAATATATGTAGCTAAAATCTAGTATACTGTACCTTCAGAACTATGGAAATAAACAAACGTTCTCCACAGTTTGTAACCTCTTTGCAGCACCCTTTGAAGAAATAAAGGCTAGCCTACAGTTTTGGGGCAGGGGCAGGGTAGTGTGATACGTACCTTTAAGTTCTACATAACCTACCTAAACAGTAAAAGCTCATGCAGATCTGCCGTTCAAGTAGCACTGTCCGTCGTGTCCGACTGTTGCCTTCTTGTGTTCACACTTAAAAAATTGCAAAGTTGCAAGAAAAGGGTTTGGAAACATTTACTTCCTCTCATTTCTTACATTTGTACTCCAGTCAGGAGAATGCAAATCGAAATTACTTGCACCGCAATGGAAGCCTAATAGACGAATGCAACAAAATTAGGTAAATAACATGAATAATCTAATAACGAAATATTTGAAAAGTAGAAGGATTCGCTATATTCGTTTTTAATCGCTTTTTGGCACAATTTAAGGATAATTGTGCGCACTAGTTCAGTGAATCATTTAGATGGAATTAAAAGTTAGAGTTGCCAAACTTATGCAGGGGAGTGTAAGTTTGGTTTTGTAAACTTCGACATTGTTCATGACCGTTTGATCCATAATTAGGTAATATGAAGAGTAGAGTTTTATTTTGACAATGATTTGATGTAAAACTGGTTTGAATGATAAAAGGTCAGCTTTGTAGTTTCTAGCTTTTTGCGCGTAAAACGTGAATACAATGGACAACAACGACACCAAATCTTTGACTAACATACGTTAATAACGTATAATATTCGTAAGAATGAATTCTAATAACATTTGAAATAAACATCTAATAAAATGTGGTGAATTTAATTGGTTGGAAACTCTAAGAAATATATTTTTAAAAAGATGTCAACTTTTGGACAAGGGTAAACTTCCCGGGACATTTACAATCTGCATGAGGTAACAGGAGGCACGGATTGCACTGAACGAAGGCTAGGAGATTGCTAATCAGCACTGATGTGTTATAGAGGTAAGACTGCCCGATCAACAAAAAACATTTCGACATATCAAAAACATAAATCAAATAGCTCAAAAATAATGAACATTTATGCAATTCCGGCTTTATTTTATTTTACTGGAGAGATGTCAGACCTATAAATAAAGGCATATGGATGCATAAATTCATCTATAATTCAGGATAAACTGAGATTGAATAATGTTTTAAACATTTAAAAATTTAACTCTTTAAAGACTGGGTCAGGACCCACGTACGTGGGTACGAGGGTACGTGGGTAGGAGGTTTTTTATGCAAAGCCCATTGTTTCTTTACATCATTGTATTTGTTTTTCACATTTGAGTCTTCACAATACGTTTTGAGATCATCAGCACTCATAATGCAATAACATGTACAAACTCCCGGTAATTTCGTTAAAAATTACACTGAACGAAACGACTGTTCTATGACGTCTTTCCTATATCGGCTGCTACATGGGCGATAATAGAGTGTGAGTCTTACATTTAAATCAAAAGTCCTCACCATTTGATCTTCTTAACTTTGCGTCTCTCATTTCAAGTGTCATTTGCGTCTCTATAACGTATTCTATTTTATATCCTATGTACTTTTAGCAAAATCCTTATCTAAATGTCACATTTTAAGATAATGTGCCAAGCGAGTAAAGGGTGATATGTAATACGTTGAATTACCGAACACTCCCCTCCATAAGTTTGGCAACCTTAGCTCCCCCATTGAACTACGTGTTAAAGCCTCTTTACCTTTGAATTTTTATTTACTTAACGTACGATGAAAAACTTATACTAATGATGGAAACGTAATTTGACTTTATTTCCAAAACCTCCAAATTTTTTCCTCAATTACAATAAGTCGAAAATTGATGATAAATTTGATGAATTTTTAAAAATCGACATACGGATATGGTTCAAATTTTGCCCAGGGACACAGAAGCTTCACTAAAGAAGAAATTTTCATGATGGCCACTGAATTTCAAAAATGACCGCCATGTTTCGTAAGATATGTAATCATTAAATAACCCAAATACCATCCAGTTGATGGATTTGGTTCAAATTTTATATGCTCAATGCTAGTACCTAAAGACAAACAATCTCTGCTCAAAAAGACATTCTTAAAATGGCCACTGAATTTTAAAATGGCCGCTATTTTTAATATAAAACATAATCTCAAATACAAGTGGAAGGATTTAGCCTAGTTCAAATTTCTTATGCTGATGTCTAGGGACAAAAAGCTCTGTTCAAGAGGGAATTTTCAAGATGGCCGCTTTTTGTCGTCATTTTTTATTCCGTGGGATTTGCTACTCATTGGAGTTGCTGTTTTCTCATTTCTTTACAAATCCGGAAGTGACGTCAAAAGTGTTGCTATTTCAATACAACTGAACCAATCTGCGTGAAATTTGGGACAAATGTCCCGAACATTATCGAGTGTACAGATTCTACTGAGGATTCTACTGCTTGATTATTTGTTTTCATGGTAACTATGGTAACCCAATATGTGGCCTCAAGTGGCAAACTATATGTTTTAGTAGAAAATGGAATGAAAGATTTAATAAACACAATATTTATGTTAATTTTAAATACTTCATTTTATAAAAGCCGTATTTGTATGTTGTAAATTATATGCAACAATACATTTATATGGTGTAAGAAATCAGAATATCACTGATTATGAAAGAAATAAAGCACATGTACAAAAGTTCCTTACTCAGTCAAAGATTAGTAAAATAATATACTGGGAATTTGTTCAGAATTTAGAAAAGAATTCAAAATATATAGAAGGATGGAATAAAGATCTAAATTTGTCACTCAATCAAAATGATTGGAAGAAGATAAATAAACTTAATAAACTGAGTAACTATGAACCTAAGTTATCATCCTTCACCTACAAAGTCCTTCATAGATTTTTAGCAACTAATACATACCTAAAAATGTGTGGACTCGTAGAGTCAAACATTTGCACTTTTTGTAAAGCACATCCTGAAACGATTTGCCATATTCTGTATGAATGTACTATTGTAAGTGCCGTATTAAATGACATTAAACAATGGCTCCCTTTAGAGCTCACATTGCTATGCACTAAACAAAATGTATTGATAGGACCTGAGAGTATAAATGAGAAGACAATCATCCTAAATAATATGCTATGTATTTTTAAAAGGTATGTTTATTTGTGCAAATATTCTATGTTAAAACCAACACTTAAAGGTTTTATAAGTAATGTGAAGGAATATTTTATTATGGACAAACGGGTTGGCAGAGGCGATGAGTGGAGAATCATGGAAACAAAATTAAACAAATGAAACTGATGATTTTTTCCTTTAAATAAAAAAAATGCCAATGGTATTATGTCTCTTAAAGACTAAATATTTAACCAATACTGTATTGTAAAATTGTTAAATGTAGGTTTACCATGTAACTGTACTGTAATTGTTTTTTGCAATTGCTCTAACATGCTTTTTCTTTGAAATAAAAAAAATTATAAAAAAAAAAGAATAACGCTAATCTTGAACGGCGTTTATAGAATATGAGTTACCATGGTGGCCTTTCAAATATATTTACAGGACACATTACTGGAAATGGAGTGGGAGCAGTGAAACCAACAATAAATCATACCCATTGACCATTTCGAACAATCCAATCTTTCATACTTCAGACGAAACGAATCCTACAATAGCACTAGGTGTAAGTTATAATTCAGTAACTACTATACATCGATCTATTCCATCGAGATTTTTTGGGACATTGTATTTATAAATCTCAATGAGAATTGAATATTTGCAAACGAGACAGTATCCTGTCACATATATTTAACAGTACTTGTACAGTATAGTCTAGAACTAGAGCAACTCGAATTCTTAAACAGATGCATTTATTTTGTGATATCATTTATAACAATTGTACGGCCCGCCTAAGTTACGTGAGACAATCTCAAGTACTTACAGTATATACCAAATGTGTTCTAGAAAGACCACTGTTGATTTGGTGAACTAAATTCAGCAAGTGTTCTCTTGAAAAAGTATCTTTTCTCTTGAAAAGTATTTATATATCTTCTAATATATTTTTAGTAAAACATCTGAAATTATCTTTCTTAACGGTTGCATAATTCCCCATTTAAAGATAAACCACGTTGGCTTTAATTTCAACAGTCGTTTGTGAAGAAGATTTTGTTCGAAACAGCGTGAATGCATTTAAAACTAATTTTTTTATTCTTCTGTTCAACATAGTTTTACAATCAACATTCAGACATTGGTTTATTTTGTAACGTAAGCATATTCAGGAAAGATTGACAAGATTTACATTTTTCAAATCTTTTTTATAATATGTTAAACCGTTAAAGTGAGACATTAGATACGTACTGCATTTCAATATTAAAATAATATGTTTTGCACTGTATAATGGAATATTTGATGATTTAAATATTTCAATTTTAATTTGAAAAACGCGGGGAATTTAAATATTTGAGAAAAAATCTGAAACATTTTTCAAAATAGTGTTTTAAATCTCTAAAATAACGTCATGGACATTTATAAATGAATGATAGAAACGTTTTTTTCAAATTTTAAGTTAAATGTGAACTGTGAACACATACTATACACCTGCTAAAGGACTTGAGGCTGTCCCTCTACATGTGTATACATATCAAACATCATGAACTGTTCTGCGGATTTACCAAGTATTAAAAACTGATTTGTATTTTTTCAGGCCAGGGCTAGCTGAAATCGTTTTGTGATTATTAGGATGACATGTGACTACAAACACTTCAATACGAACATAATCACAGAAGCTATCAAAATGTGATTCTACTGAAGACACTTTCAAATGACAAAAAATCATTACAACTTCATTATTGTGTTGTGCATATATTAACATATTACAGTATTAGCTGTTCTAGTTGTGACACTATTCTCACATATGCTTTGTTTTACAAAACTATTACTTCGGTGTTGACTAAGTTGTCTTGGTAAAGCTTGTTTTTAATTTACAAAAAAGTTCGCCGAGAGGAATGGCGCAAAATTCCCCATTTCCAGGTAAACCCGAAGCGTGGAAAGAATTGACTAAGAGGGGAAAACCTGGAGTAAAGATAGCATGGAACTTGAAACAAACCGTTCCTCCTGTTGAGGTAGTCTCGTATAGGATACTCTACAAAGTGGCGGGGAGCAAAGGAAAATGGAAAGAGAAATCCATTACTGTTGAAGATGGAGCGGAAAACACCTTATTTGAGACGGTTATCACATTAAAGCCAGGGACCTACGTATTTGCGATTGTGGTGGTCTTTGAAGATGATGAAATAAGTGAAATGAGTGGAGAGAGTGACGAGTTTGCATTTGATGGGAAAGAAGAATCTGAAAACATCAAAGTATCACTGAAGTCTACTATCCTGGGTAATGCGCGGAAGGTGCAAGAAGGCGACGGAAATACATGCCCATCTGTCTATCAAATCGAATTACAACCTACCTTTATAAGTCCAGACAAAGGGATACGTAAATACGATATTGGTAAAAATCAATGCACCGACCAGTACTTGAGGGAAAAGGTAATCTTGATTGTTGGTGCTACTGGAGCCGGTAAAAGCACATTGATTAATGTTATGGTAAACTACCTGTATGGTTTCGACCTTGATGATGGGAAACTATTGAGGCTCATAGATGAAAAGGGGGATGCAAATCAGGCAGAGAGTCAGACAAAGGCCATAACAGCGTACACAATTCACAGTCAGGATGGACTAAAGGTTGCAAACACCATAATCACCATAATCGACACACCAGGTTTTGGCGACACCAGCGGCATACAAAGAGATGAAGAAATTGTCAATCAAATTCGAGACTTTTTTACCTCCAAGGATCCGAAGTTACTTGTCGATCACATTGATTTAGTCGGGTTTGTAGCCCAATCTTCTTTGCCCCGATTAACACCAACGCAGAGATATATTTTTGACAAGATCCTGTCGTTATTCGGCAAGGATATCGAGAATAAAATAACGATGCTTCTCACGTTTGCAGATGGTGGAACCCCAAACGTCCTAAGTGGAATAAAAGAATCTGGGTTTAAACATAATGAATATTTTACGTTTAACAACTCGGCTTTTTTTATCAAGGAAGCAGACGTGACGAGGAAAACAATATTAGACTTTTGGGACATGGGGGAGAAAAGTTTCAAGCGGTTTTTTGAAGCTCTGGACAGATGCGAACCGACCAGTCTCGCATTAACAAAGGAAACTCTTCTCGAAAGACAACAATTGCAATCGAACATGGATCAAATGCATATTAATATCAGAGAAGGTTTGAATAAGTTAGAGCAACTTGAAGAGGAATTAAAAGTTGTCGAGAATCATGAAGAGGATATGAGGAAACACAAAAATTTCACTTATGAAACAGAGGTAGAAGAAGTGGAGAAACGTCATGTTGGCAACCACATCTGCACAACGTACTGTATAACATGCAATCGCACATGTCATAACAACTGTGACTATAAAGACAATGAAAAGAAGAAGAAATGTAAAGTTATGAATAGGGAGGGATATTGCACAGCTTGTCCTGGAAGATGTTACTACCAAGTCCATGAGCACAGGCCGTTTGTGATGATCATTACAAGAAAAAAAGTAACACATACCATTGCTGATCTGCAACAACGGTATGCACGAGGAAAGAAAGGACAGGCTACTCACATGGCATTGAGTAAACAGATAAAGGCAGATTTTGAGATTCATCAAAAGCAGACATTGCTGCTGATCGATTACAATAGGCAAACTGTAGAAAGACTGAACGCTATTGCTCTGAAGCCAAATCCTACATCAACAATTGATTACATCGACACCCTTATAGATGCTGAAATGGGGGATAAAAAACCTGGCTTTCAGAAACGGGTTCATGAGTTAAGAGAATTGAGAAAGAAGACAGAAGAGTTAGCCGACCTAATCATGAAAGGAGGTGAAGATCCATTTTCATCACACAGAGGTGTATTGGGGGCACTCGAACAGAAAGAATCGGATGTAAAAGCAAGTGGTCGATTCAGTAGCATGTTTCAGACGTGTAAGAAGTGGTTAAATATAGGGAAGACAAAAGAAGGTATTTCCAGAAAGTCGAAAAAACCTCAACCTGGGAAAAAGAAAATGTGATAGTTTCCCGTCATCTGCTGCAAAATCTAATGAAATTAGAAAGAAAAAGAAGACAAAAAAACAAAAACTAGGAACTACCAACAATATTCTAGTTCAACACCAGATGTAACCAATAACGCTAGTCTTATTAGGAATGTAGTTATATCACAGATATGTTCACGTTTAGGTCCCACCCGAGAGTAGTTGCTGTCAAGCGAGTGTCAATGATGATTTGAGATTATTGTAATAGTTTTCCATTGACAGAATCATCGCCTTTCTATTTAAAATTTCCCAGTGGAATTACGTGAATTTGTGAGTCGTATAACCTTGGACTCAATCGTTTCTAAACAAGCAAGAAACGAATAGTCGATCAATTGTAAATAGTATAATGCTTGCTTTTCTGTAAATACATCTACATGTTAATCATACTTAATCACCCTACAAGTGCACCCCCCTTAACTTGCTGTATAGTGTACTATTATGATTTATTATATCACGATACAACTACTAGAGAACAGAGATACTTACGCTTGCATTTTAAGAACACACAAGGAAACTGCACCCAGGTTTAATTACTTTTTTGTAAATACAGTATTCTTAACACATTGTAACAAGTGCATAGTCTGATAATGTATATAGAAATACTTTTTATAGATTTAAATCTGCATTAAATGTATTTTATATACGTATAAGTCTACTCGTATAGATGAAGAGGAATTATTTGAATTTTGTAATAAGAATATGTTTGGTGATGTGTATCATTTTATAGTTTACATGTTTGATCTCCGTGATAATGATGATATATAGTTGAATTTATCTTAGCTTACACTAATCAATCGCTTAGACGATGTATTAGGGAAAAGCTGTTAAGGCAAACACAAAGATATGATAACATATACGTATATAAGATATAGGTATATAAAATGCCAAATAAGTTTCCACATTTTATATGTCAATAAACATAGAAAAACTTTTGAAACTAGAATAATATTGTCATATTGTGTAGTGAAGTATTTTTGCCATTTTGTATTTTTCATACAAGTACGTAAAATGGATAAAGTAATCACATGCTGCATAAGTCTGTCAAAATAAAATGTATGTTATCATTCAGCCTACAGACGTATAGAAACAAACCTTGTCGCATTCTTACTCTTTTAAATATGTGATACCAAACACTTGTGTTTCATATTTTAATATATGCGCATTCAAATTAAAAATAAGTTTTGCAAAAAATGGAAAAATTTGCATTAGAACTAGGTTATACTTGTTTTGTCTAAGTAAAATAAATTGGAAACTATAATTTTGATTTTTAATTTATCAAACAACTGTAATATTCAATCACTGATTTCAATGTAAGAACGAGATTTGCAGAAAAATAAATTATTGATTTGATCATAGCACTGTGTTTACGTTTTATTGAAGCAGTAATTTCCATGTTATTAAGTACATGGTTATAACCTTTCTTGTATACTAAATACAAAATAGATGGGGACTCCTTCGTATTTGGTATTGTGAAATCCTAGTAGAAGTGTATCGTAATACGACTGAAGACAGAATGACGGATATGTTATGACTGGGCTTGAAAACTACAATTGCTATATGAGTACACTCCCCCTCCAGAAATTTGATAACCATAAGTTATCCTCCGAACCATGTATTTAACCCTGATGGTGTTTTACGACCTTTTGTAATCAAGTGAGGAATTAATGATTAAACTCGCTATATAATGGAAATACTTTGGTCAAACTTTGAGAGGGGCTTGGAGGTATAGCTAAAACTTTTGTGACCTCCCAAGGTGGCCTGCAAAGTTTGCATCGTTCTTTGAGATGTGCCCGACAGATAAAAAGTACCAATGACTTTATACCGATATAAAGATGGCACCAGTGGTTGTTCATATAAAGAGAAGCTATGTAGACAGATTGTTTGGACTGCCATCTTTTTACAAACATTATTTCTATTGCTCGTTGGTCTTGGTTGAAAACTCACATTGCTAGGAAATACGAAACTGATATCACTAATAGACAAATAAAATGAATGGAACTTCTCAAGTGTGCCTGGTCATTTGAACATGACTTATCCCGGACATTGAAGCATGGAGGATCGAGTGCATCCCATTTTATGCCCTTTCTGTATTCGACAGTCTCCATGGCTGATACACTCCAGTGCAAAGTATTCATATATCCCCTACTATCAGCAATAAAATGTAATGGCATTGATTTGGCATTGTTCTGTAGAAGCCACCAATATGAACCAGTCAGGAATAATTGGAAGGAATCCCCATCCTGGTATACCAGTTCACCCGTCATGAAACGCCCGTATGTAAATGTCAATAAATTTGTTGTTTCGTTCATAGCAATCGTTATATTTCCTAAAAATATATGGCCGTACACTCCAGCATATCTTTCAAAGTTTTGCATAGGTAATGAGGTAGTTATAGTTTCAGCAGCATCTGTTTTGGCAGTCATTTCATCAATAGGGTTACCAGTTTGCCAGGTTGTCGGAATGGGGGTCTTGCCACTGACTCCTGGTTTCCATGGTAACGGGAAGGAACAACTTGTAGTTGCATTCAACCAGGGTTCTTTTCCCAGAAGGACATCGGAAATGTATGCATTGATTGACCTCAAGGCGAGTGATGCGTCTGCCCCAGTTGGACCATTGGCTGCTGTAAAAACTCCAATATCAGACTGGGGGAACAACCAAAGCTGGGCGGAGTAACCAAAGAACGAGCCTCCGTGTGAAAGTTTCTTATTTCCTGGAAAATATGGATTCATTGTTTCCAATAATACCTTAATAATAAATTGCGGTCATTGTGATTTAATTAAGAAATATAGACCGAAGAGCAGGGGTTATATTGACTTTGTTCACAGTTTATTGAAGTCATGTCCTAATTATGATTTCAATACCCGATAAAGCGATGATATAATATCCAATACTAAAGATATGACATTTACACAGTTATATTGTGATGCAATATTTCTTGGAAAATTTTGAATTTGATTGAACTTGATAGAATGTATGCCCTGCCAAAGTATATACAATATTTATTATTGACCTCTTCTTGAAATTGTTTTAACATTTGGGATTATTTATTATGATTTGAATATAGTCGTTAATAAATTCGATCATAGCCACAACTGAAATATTGCCCATTTTGGCCCACCTTGAACACTTTTTTTAAGATGATCTAAAGAAAAATGAATGTTTGATAAACCTCTATATATGCCGTTATTCCATCCCATTGCGTACGTGATGTCTGCGTTATCTATCGGCCATTCTGGTTGAAATAAGTTATTCTGTGATACGGAGCGCTGAATCCTCGGCAGGTACGTCTCTTGTAAGATATCTCGGTCTACCACCGGTACCCCTGTGTCTGTTTGTCCCTTGTTGATGTGAAGCTTCATCCAGGCAGCCATATTGGATGACGTAGTACAAATACTTCCGGAAGGTCCCCCTGGTTTGATTATCCTTGAATAATAAATTACATACATCACCATCAAAATCATACATTTCATAGCTGTGCTTATCAAATATTTTATTATCATATACTATATCTTTGTCATTTATTAAAACTCTTGGGGCAGAAGACATGATGAATCAAATTAATTCTGTACATTTTGAATAGCAGGGAGTTAAACTAAAGGTTTTAAAGTGAACTTGACGTTTTGCACTGCAAGTTACTTACTTTCGTAATTCTGGATCTACTTTGAAATGTTTTCCGTTTTGATAAGTGTACATTTCTGCCAAACATTCCTCGATTTCTTCGAGCTCATTAGCATATCCTGTGGACGTCATTTCAAGAGGAGTCAAAAGAAATTCATCGACGAGCTGCTCCCATGTCTTTCCCCCAACAAACTCTGCAATATAGCCGACCAGCATGTACATATGGTTGTTATATTGTAATTCATCTCGAAAGTCGCCTATAGACGGTAAAGAGTAAAGACGTCTGGAAAAGCAAATTACACCATCAACGAGGTAGCAGTTTTGTCATATTTTTGTCATACTATTATAATTATTCATCACACATAAAGATGTAACAGGTGACATCATTTCTAGCGTTAAATACCCGAACATGTCTCAGCATAACCTGACCAGATGGTTGAGATATCCTATCTAGCGATACCAACCCTATAAGCATAGTATATAATGTATATTTAGAAATGATATGATTTTCTACCTGACAAGATCCTCTCTAGTGACATAAGAGGGATATCCTGCTTGGGTTGAGATGTCCCATCTAACGAGGCCAACCCTATGTGACAACAGATCAGTTATTGTTGTATAATTTGTTAGAAGTTGGGAATTAAATTTGAAATCTTCACCAATAATGTCTGTTATCTTCGAATCCCACTTCAACCTGGAATACCAAAGAACTTTATTAATCAGACATATGTAGATACAAGTTCATAATGGCACACTGTTATATTTAAATGAATTAGAAACGACGTTGAGTAAAAAGTTTTTGAAGCAGTCCTTTCAAAAGTCGTGCCACCTTCCAATTATTTAGCTTAAGAAAGAATTGAGGTACTGAATTAACATTACAAAGGTAGTGTCCCTTTTTCATAGCTATTGTTAAGTACTAGTAACCCCTCAAGTAAATAAGCCAGATTGACTAAATATAAAATCAGAACAGTTGGACTTATCAAAAAGTAAATCTATACATAACATGGAATGGGATGGTGAGAGCAAAGAAAATATTTTTAAATTGTGACATTTTTCAAAAACTTACTCAGAGCTCACTGTTCCTTCTATTCCCTTTAAGTTTGAAATTCGAACGTTACTTTAATTATACCACACGTTTATTTCAATGACAAAATCACCAATTCTAAAATGAGACTATGGTCGATTTGCCTGATCAATGCACTACCCTACTGTATATATGAAAAGAACAACTCACCAACTATTGGTTTCTATTAATTTAGCAATGACTGTAGATGTGAATGCTTTAGTTACAGAACCGATACAGAAAACAGATGTATTTCTTGCAGGAATTGCCTCTTCAATATTCGCCATGCCGTATCCCTTGGATACCAGCGTCGTATTTCCCTTGACGACGGTTACTATGAGACCAGGTACATGTCTGCACTCCATGGTTGAGTTAACGAACTGATCAATTTGAAATTCGTCCTCTGTTGCTAACGTATAGGTATCAGCAAAATATCCCATAGTTACCAAATGAAATAATATGAATATCCCAATTCTGGACTTCATCCTGGTTTTCGTCTATCAAACAGTTAAGATATATCCAAAGCTATGTTCTACCATGGTCAGTAGTGTGTTTATCCAAATGTATCAAAATAAACCACTGAAGATATATATAAACACCGATGTTAAGACGCTAGCTCCACAGTCAGCAATTGCCAAATTCAAAGAAATTGCAATTAACATTCCTGATCTGGTCGATCACTTAGTAACTCATTGATATTGATACCAACATCTGAAACCACACACGTAATGTACGTAAGGGTGTTAATATAAACGTATGATTCAGTCAATATTACCGACATTAGTCATCTTTATCTCACATATTCTCACAGCTCTAATCAACAATTTTATGATATTTCATACTTGATTTTAACAGCTTTGGTAATCAAAAACCGGGCCAACCAGGAAGAATTGGTGTTAACAGAATTATTAAGACTAAAACGACCACCTCTGGATGAACCCAATGAAGTATTGAAAGAACTTCAAAACATGGAGCTGATTTTTTTATTCAGTGAAAAAAACATGGTGAAGGCAAAAATTTGATATCTTGATCCACAACAATCCTTAAAATTCATAATTACTATTCTACCATTAAAATGATATTTTAAAAGGTCAGCGACACCTTATATGTTAATGGAAAAATTAAGAAATGTATTGGAGATTAAATTAGACATTTAATAAAATGCTTTTAGAGTTGTACTAGAGCGCAGTTTCCTTTAAGACATTGGTGTGATTATATATGTGTTTAGTCCTATTTAATTATGGTCCAACAGGGTCAGTAAAAGCTATACCCCCTCCATAAGATTGTCAACCTGAAGTCCCGGTGTAAAAGGGTAGGAGGTCCTATCAAATTATGGTCCTACTCTCCATTGATTTATATGGTGACCTAAATACAACTCTTTCCCTGATTATCTTATACGCAATCAGGGCCAATAAGGGCCGTTTACAAAGGGGACCATAATCGCTTGGGGGAACATAATTTCTTTCACACCGGGTCTAAAGTCCTCTTTTGGATCACGTGTTCTTGTTAAAGCCTAATAAGCGATTTAAAAAATTTCATGAAATATGTCCGAACTATTGAATTCTATTGAAGGTGCTTGAATACGCTATCAATTGAAGACTTGCGGTTTTCAAACGTATGGAGAGAAGTGTATTTATGGCAGTCAATAACTCTTATTGTTAGTACCTCAGTTGAAATACTCGATTTTGATTGGTCAACGAGCGGTGAATAATTTTAACTGTACACCGCGCAATGCATTGCCGGTGAATAATATTCCCAGCATTCCACTTAAATGACGTCATTATCAGACGATAAAATGGCCGCCGCTAGCACTAGCCGTTTCAAAAATGTTGAAGATGAGTATATTATTAGTCTCTTAGAGAGTAAAGACAGTCAAAATACGAAGAAAAATCTAAAACTTTGTACAAAGCTTTTAGTGGACTTCGCCCAGGAGAGTAATTTGACTCCATTGAGTGAACTTACTGCCGTGGCAGATGTAGATCTCAGGGTCTGGATCCAACTTCAAGTCAACTTTAAGGGTCAGCAAAATCTAAGATATTCTTCGGACTAACAAAACAATTACAGACCTCTCCATTCGGTTTACTGTCAAAATTATATCCCTCGACTGTAAACCTCGACCTACGGTCTCGGTTTACAGTCTCGGGATATAATTTTGACAGTAAACCTCTGGAGAGGTCAATAATTGTATATTGTATACCAGTTGTATTTTGTAAATAATGAAACAACCTGATGTATCGAGTTGGATTTTATGACCCCGGGAATTGCAATGCAATGACAGCATAGTCTCTCAGTTAGTCAGGCGGACCAGAGCTTGAACTTTTATTAATGCAATTCCTCTTCCTACATAGGAAAACAGATCAAACTGCAAGCACATGCTACCAAATTAATGTCCCTTACAATGACGTCATCATACGTAAAACTCAAAATATGTAATGTAGCCTACAATTGAATTTTATTAACTACATGTAGATACTGAAACACTAAATCATAAAATGAATAAGCTTTGTGATAATTTATTCTTCAGACAGTTTTGTAAATACCGGCGATCCTCTACGTTCCCTGTAAACCAAGAATAGTACGGCAAATACTGCTATGAGCAATAGTAAAACACAAATAACTATTGCTGCGACTATTCCACCGGGTAGTCCACCAGAGGGAGCAACGGTCGATGCAGCAGACGATCGTTTGGTAAAAAATGTACTTGCCGATCCTAAAGTGAAACAACTGAAGCGGAAAAAATCGATTCTTGATCTCTCAGGGTGTTCGCATCTACGTTTCGGTTCTCCAGAATCTGGGTGAGTCACTAAATGTCCAGTTGAGTTTTTGTACGTGTTGCACTGTTCTTTTCCTTCTGGTAAAAGAGCGGGCCTGCAGTCAGTTGAATTAACGCAAGGTTCATCGGTTCCGCTATAGGTGGCGTCTATGACAAAGTACGGCTCTGTTATGTATGAGACGCCATCGAACAAATTTTGAAAATTAGACATTTTTGACCAAATTCTTTCTAATGTAATATCATCGCCATATTTAACACCATCCGGTCCAGACAAGTTCTTGAATTCTTCAAATATAGCTGACATAAGGTCGGGATAAAATCCAGTTGGTGGATTGACCAGATAATTGCCATCGTTGTCACCCCAGTGAAATGGTCCAAAAGCACCTAATTTGAAAACCCTAGTTTCTAAAATGGTTTTCAACAAGCCAGTCGCATTGTTTTTATTCGGAGGAGGAAATAAGGCATAATTGTCAGACTTGCACGTGTGGACGCTCAGGAATTCAAACGGCATATTTTTCAGTCTAGCTTCTTGATCCGACCCCTTATTTTGAACTCTCACGATGGCTGCATTTATCGCGAGAGCGAGATCTCGACTCGACCTGTATGGTGGCGCTCCGTGGGGCATATCCGCAGAGACATCAGGGGTCATAAACATCGCTGAAGTAGAAATCAACCCACTACTGAAAGTGTGGAGATCCTTGGCGTGATGATCAGCCACGACACCTCTCATTAAGCCTGCAACTAGCGATCCTGATAATACCGAACTTACGAGGGCATCCTTACTTTGAAAAAGAACAGGCTCCACTGATGCATGTAACACTGTGCGTACAGCGTTGTAGTTAGCCATACTCAGGAATCCAATCTTTCGGTTTGGCCCTTGCGCTATAGCGTCATTTAGTTCATCAATGCTCTCAATATCAGTATTCTCCGCTGCGCCAGTAACAATTGTACAAAGAATATATACAAATCCGACCACGCTGTAAAACACCATGTTCATCCCTCTAAATCTTACGATCGGAGGGTTCATTTTATCACAGATTCATACACGTACACGTGTTAACGTCTATTATTTGACTTGTAAATTAGACAAAATGTAAATCTGTAGGGTTATACTTTTAGTCCAATACAATTCAGATGAATTACGGCCGCACTTGGACCACTTGATTCAGCAAGAGTGCGATAAATAAAACAGTGACAGATTGAATTTGCACTCAGTTAAAACTGTTAATATGTGAAATTTCAATTATATTGATTTGAAAACGAGGATGAATGAGCATTCAGTTTAACCGGAGGGTTCTGTTGACTTCTCTCTTAGCTTCGAACTTTATTAGAGGGGTAGTTCTATACAAATGCTCATGATTACGCATTTATAGAATATTGGGCACAAAAAACAATATGTATGAAATATTAATTGACACATAGCTAAGCAAGGTGTGTCCGATTCAAGCCAATCCGAACACAGTATTTCACATATAGAACAGTGTGTGAAATATCAATAACACATGCAAGATCACTAGTTAAACAGTTGTTATGGTGATGAATGGACTTTTCACATTTGACCCAACTTGACCCTTGCAAACAATTCATTGAAAATGTGTTCTTTTAGTGATTTCGTTCCTTTTGGATGATTTTGCCGAAAAAATTGCAATGTGTGAAACGAATTTAAGCCCAAGACTGCGCGGTCATGCAAAGGTTTGGAAACAACACCTTCATGGTATGATTCAGCAAACAATGCATTGAGTCCAGGGCTTAAATCCTTAAAAGCCCATTGCCCGGAAATATTAACACAATTGAACATGTTGAACAACTAATATACATACTTTTTGTGGCTTGGTTGAATGGCTATTAATCCCAAGTTCCGATGTGTCTCATCAAGAAGACGATAGAGTGACAAAGATTATGTCAAGCGGAGTTTATAATTTTTGTGCAAATTTTCTTCTTGGATCGAAAAATTTCATTTTAATTCGATTAACTTATGATAGGTGGTAAAATGTCTAAAGGTAGGTCACGTGACACAAAACTGGTATATAAGAAGGAATGGTAGAAAGGGTAAGAGGAATGCAGTCTACTGGTGTACGTTCTCAAAAATAATACATGTGCATGATTAACAAGATATCGATTTATCTTCTAGCTCACCGTCTTGAAAGATTTGTGAAAAAGATCTGAAAAGGCTCAATTTTCATTCTAATTTCAGAATGAAATCTATTAAATATTGTAATCTGACAAATACTGTATACTTGAAAACAATGGTGTACATTACATTACATTAAACATGTTAAACTGTTTGTGTGTCTTGAAAGATGGTCCTTTCATTAAAAATGTTCTCATTCATTGGAATTTTGGACTTCTTATCTTATTTCAACTTCAGTTTTGTTTGCCAACGAGTGCGTATCGTTCGAATTCAGTACAAATCCAGTAAATCATAGCAACTTTCGCTTATGATGTGACGTCATATATAAAGTCTAATAATTAATATAACAGTCCATTTTTAAGTTTGGAACATTTGAAGGCTATATGTATCTACCTTTAATAGTAGATATATAAATATGTTATGTACGGTTGTTTTTGAAAGTTTTGAATACAGTGTTTATCCCTCGTGAAATGTATCTCTGAGTGATAGATACCTACGTTATATTCTCCTCAAAAAAGTTAAGGACCAGTGGTTTTCCTCATAGGTTTACATGTTAACCCCCATATTTGTTTGAAAGACTATTTTCTAGGCTTGGAACAATAGAAACCCCGATAAAGTAAATGAATCTGTATCTTGATTCTATTCTCTATAAAGTCTGCAAAATTCAATGTTACATCTCCATTACATTGAGTCAAAATTTGACGTCAAAATCAATGAATTATATGAATTTTCATGAATTCTGAATTTTTTTTAAAAAAAAATTGCGTCCTTGGGACTCACAAATTTTCTAACCTAATGCAAGCGCTGCTGACATATGTTTAGATTCCTGTGCACATGATATCATTTCGGGAAATGATTTCGCACTATTTTCCAGAATGGCAGTAACTATTTGTAAAGCACCAATCGATCGAAATTTATTCTGCACTTTAATCTCTATCTGACTTTTGTTTTTACCCATTCTCGCCACATGATTTAACTTGCGAGCACGTGGCTCCGACACTTCGGGCTTATATCACTTCCACTACATAATCGCGGTGTCCTTTAGATGAGCAACTTAAGATTTATGACGGTAATGATTTATCAGATAAATATTTAATTAAACCACTTCAAAAAGAATACATTTCATAAGTCTAAAGATATACCTCTAGTGTTATGGAATCTCAAGTGACAGTATATAATACACTTAAGTGAAATACTTTTAATATACTTAACTTAAAGTAAGTGATATTGATACCCATACATTGCTTGTTATTCTGCATTCTTTATCTGCCGTTTGATTATTCATATACAAGGGGCGATCCATATATTCTGATAAAATGCTCTCCTCTTTTCATTTTTCACGATTGTGCTATTTTCACAAATAGCAAAAAACACCGTGCATCCTGCATAATTAATGTGTAAGAGTATCATTTATTTTGAAAACAACACTGACCCACTGTCTGTGTACATCTCTTAAGTCAGGGAAGTGCGCTTCAAGGTTCCCTGTATAGATGTTGTTATAATTTGCAGCAAGTCGTGATAATACCCCTAAAATCTTCCTTCAATGCTCCTAACAAAGCGCTGTATCAGGTGATTATGAATACCTCAGGCCTTTTGGTGATAGTGGCCTGCACACCCTTACTCAACAAAGACCGAAGCAACAATACCAAACATTTTTTTGAAAAAAATTATGATTTCTATTCCAAATGCTTTAAAATAATTGAATAACTCATTTATTTTATATGTTATACAGTAATCTAACTGATCTGCCTATCTTTGATACAGGCTACCATTGCAACCTTATCTCAAAATTAATTAGATTTAGCTAAACAATTTTAGCAATTTAAGTGCATATAAATAATGAGTAAAGTGAGAGAGATATATAAGAAAGTCATAAAATGAAAGCATTTTTTATCAGAATATATGGATCGACCCTCGAATGAGCATACTGATCTATCATTGAGCCCCATTGATCTATGTAACTATGAAGTAACCTTGTGGACCAATTGATAAATTGATATATAACGATACAGTGATTCCCATACATTGGATGCCATTCTTCATTCCTTATCTGCTGTTTGATTATTTATAAAGCATACCCAAATACCATTCAGCTATTTAACAAGAATAAAGAAGGCCTCTGCGAGCGCATCCTCAACAAGAAAGTTTGTCAACTGTATGGTCGTTTATAACAATCCTAAGTCTCCGTAGCGCCGATCATGACATTTGACGATACCTTGGAGCAAATTGGAGGATTTGGTCTCTACCAAATCTTTATGGTCGTAACATGGAATGTTTTCTACTGTGGTAATGGATGGCAGTATTCATTAACGAACTTCATTGCGGGGAAAATGGACCATTGGTGCGCAGTACCGGAACTTGCCAACCTGAACGAGACAATGCAGAAGTTTATTTCAATTCCTGAAACTCAAAACTCATTTGGAGATACTGTTTATGATAAATGTACAATGTTTGATTATAACTATAGTGCCATTGACTGGGGAAATGCTGATCTTGTAAATGGGTGGACACGAGATGTTAATGCTTCGCGGATCAGTTGTAGGAATGGATGGCGGTACAACAGAGACACATTCGAAACTACGGTTGTCAGCGAATATGATCTGGTTTGCGATAGGGATTGGATGTTCACGTTACCTGCGACATTCCAGATGCTTGGTCTCTTCTTTGGGGCTTTCCTCTCTGGAGCTATATCAGACAGATTTGGCCGAAAGCGAGCAACATTAGGCCTCCTTGTTCTTTCGTTAGGAGCAATCGTTGGAGGAGCGTTTGCGGAGAATTTCTGGTTGTTCGTTATATTACGTATGTTTTCAACCATGTTTTCTATAGGGGCGTTTACACCTTTGTGGGTTTTGACCATTGAGATAATGTCACCAAAATCACGAGCACGCTGTCTCTTCTATGCCCACTTGTTCCGAGTAATGAGGGGAGTTACGAGCACCATTGGAGCTTACTACGTGCGAAATCACAAACAGCTTCAGTTGCTCTCGGCAATAGTTGTGCTACCAGGACTTGTCCTCATCGTGTTAACGTTCGAGTCTCCTCGCTGGCTCATATCAAAGGGACGCTTGAGGGACGCTGAAGATATCTGTGGAAAAATTGCGAAAATAAACAGAGTGAAAGCAAAAGAGAATTTCACGTTAAAAGATACGGTGGACACAAAAAAAGATGACAGTGATGTCAGTGATACGAAACAGGCGTCTATCATAGATTTATTTCGTACTCCGGTCATTAGAAAGCGTACAATACTGATCTGGATCCAATGGTTCGCCATTGTATTTGGTTCCTATGCAATGAGCTTGAATGTCGGGACAATTATTCCGGGCAATATTTACTTGAACAATCTCTTAATAGGAAGTCTAACCGAAATACCATCCGTATTTTTTATGCTGCTGGCACTTTCCAAACTCGGGAGAAAGACAATCCTTTCATATTTTCTGATTACCAACGCCATCTTTTCACTAGTTATCATTCCCTTGTTGTTGACCAGAATAACGGCCTTGATTACAACTGCCGCTGTGTGTGGTACAATCGTTATAAATATTGTCTTCAGGGTGATATACCTCTACAGTAGTGAAATCTTCCCAACTCCCGCCAGGAGCGTTGGTTTAGGGAGTGGGTCCAGTTTCGGCCGCATCGGAGGTCTGATTAGCCCACAAGTACCTCTATTGGGACGTATTTGGTATGGTCTGCCCTATATTGTATTGGGCTTCTTCCCTTTAGTTGCTGGATTGCTGGCCTTCCTTTTGCCAGAAACCAAAGGAAAGTGTCTTCCAGAGACCTTACAAGAAGCGGAATTATTTGGATCGTCAAGCTCTGATTGTGACGACATTGTAGACGCTGAGGGGGCAAAAAGAGAGAAGATAGATGAGGTGTCGTTCATAAGTGGAAAGACGATTAGTGATACCGGCACTACTTTGGATGTGTACAATGGCTCGACAAATTCGACGGCCGAGGAACGTTTGACGTACCGACTCGATACAACTTTGCTGTAAATTTTAATGGAGTGGACAACTTGGATAACGCAATGGGATTTTATTGACTTTACTTAGTATCAGATTTAACTAGGAGGCAAAACACTTATGGCCAAATTCAATTTAACATACAGTTGTATGTATCATCAAGTGTAAAAGAATTTAGGCACAAGACTTAATAGTTTGTCTGTAATATGTCATGGGTAACGGATGCAGCCTAGCCGATACCGATGACATCGCACTTGTATCTCTTTTTCGGAAAGTCATGAATACACTTGCATCACTGGTGATCCGCTCGATTACACAGCTTTCGGGTAACAAAATGTTGGAACGTCGAAGGTACGATTATTCTTTGTTCCTTATTTCACGCGTTGTAGGCAGAATCCCCACGACATTTTTCGACATTTTTTCTAACATTTTGTTACCGAAACGGTTCGAGCGTATCGAGTGGATCACCAGTGTGCATTGCGATCAACCACATTAACATATTATGGTGATGTATTACATCCAGATAGGTATGTTGCTTTTCCAAGCCTATTTTTGAACTTGGCGAAGAGAATATAAGTTAGTGACAAGCGTTTCACGTCGGTATACCATATCAACCTCGGACAATGTTAAAGACCAGACAAGTAGAGCATTCAAGCTCTAATGAGAAAGGGAAAATGTACTCCTTATACTTGGTATAGGTAGTAAATCTAGAGGATAAACACCGATTGTTAGTGCAAAATTGTACGACAGGTGCGATCGCACCCCCTTCCCTCATAACCATAAGAACAGAACTATTAGTCAAAAGAAGAAAAGAGCTTTAAAACGCTCTTTATTTGAAGCTTCTAGCTCAATTTTGAAGGAAGTTGCATCAACTTTAGTAAATTTCAAAACAAATCTTCAATTCTTGGGGATTCTTATGCCACGATAGCACCTCCCTGAAAATTGGATCGCAACCTCCCCTCCACTTCACTGAAAGCTGGCTACGCCCCTGATGTTGTATAGGGAAAATACTTGTCAAAAAAACTTCTTTCAGACCAAAATGGTTGACTTTTCCGTTGATATTAGATTTTTTGCATACTGCTTTTTATTTGACAATACTACAATGCAACTGATCTCTTTCATATTTATAGTTGCTAATAATCCCCTATAATTCCTCAGTAGGGATTTTCAATTCAGCTTATTTATTGCTGAGAAAATACTTGTCAAAAAGCGACTCAATTCATTTGGGCACCGGATATGTCATGTGGCATAAGGAATTGGTGATCTAACTTTTTTTTATCATTATTGAGGATATAAAGTTTATCAGATGTTTTTGTTTAGTAGTAGTTAAAAAAACAATATCCAATTTAAATTGTATGTATTTGATAAAATTGGAAGTATATATGGTCAAAGTTGATCATAAAATAGAATGATATTACAATGTTACCTGTATTTCGTGTTAATGTTCATGACAAATCATTGACAGAACATGGTACTTTATGGTCTATGTGCTCATAAAACACAATTGTCACACATCATTTATTTCATTAAAAAATTAATGATTGTTTTTTTCATGACTGGTGGTATTGTATGGTTGGTGCTATTCGAAATCAGAACTGACCATCGCTTTTTATTCACAGAATTTACTGACACATTCCATTACCATAAACTCTAGTAGCAGAGTGCCAATCGTGATCAAGGTAGATTTGCCATTCACCTTTCACATGCATGTTGTGTTCATGTTCTACAATGACCTAGGCCCGAGAAATTGAATAAAATATGGTCTGTTATGATATGAGACTATGACTATATGTGACTATGACTACTATAAAATGAACAGGCAATGCAGTATATACAGGGTGTCAAACAAATATGTTCTCCCCTCCTTGGCTTTAGCATCTACATAATCATGATAATGTTGATAACTTTTTTCTCTACATGCAGTTCAACAAGTTAAACCCAATACCACGGCTTTTATTTATTAATCTGAATGTTCTTGTTGCGGGCCACAAGATATGTCAGCTAAGAAATAAGGCCCAGACTAGGTTTAACTTGTTGAACTGCTCTACATGATATCTGAATTGTTCTTTAGTACAAAACTACGCTCCAACGAGCAATGAGTCATTCTTGCACAACTAATTAGCCTTTTTCAGATTTGCGAAATTTAATGCGTTCTTGATCAATATTCTCAAATGTTCTCCTAGGCATTACTGTCACATCTGCACCAGTATCAATTATAAAAATGACCTTTGTTTGGTTTACTTCCAGATTTATTTAGAAATTCTCATTATCAGAAGTTTCACATGATTCAGAATCACTCACTCGACCAATGACCTAATTGACATTAGCGGATTCTTCAGTTTCAAAATCAGAGAAAGATGATTGACTGATATAAGGTAATTCGGCAGCGTCGGATTCTGTATCATAGACCTATATTGGACCTTTTCAGTAGGCCTCCCAGGTTGCTCTGAATTAATTCTTAGTGAAGATCGGGATTTTCCAAATTTGGCCCAATGGCCGATAGCTGCACAAATCCGGCAGCAGCTAGATCCTAGATGCTTCTTGGAACTTCTGCTTAGGATGTGCTTCATTGACACATCGAAAGCACTTAGGGTTATATCTATTTGATCTCTTACGATTTTCATGATCGTGATATTTTGTGTGACGATGGTGTTTCACAAATCTTGACACTCCAGCACCTGTTACGGTCGGAGCACTAATTGGTTCTTCAGATTCCAAATGTAATTGATATTTTTAATTTATTCATTAAGTCTCGCTGATGTTTTTGGTTTGTCAAGGGTGAGTTCGACATCTGATTGTAACTTACTACATTCATGGGCTCTACGTTTGTCACGAATACCTACAACAATTCTGTCACGAATTAGTTTGTCTTGTAATGGAGCACATTGACAATATTGTTGTAAAGCTGTCAGGAACTCATCATCCGTCTCGACTTCATCCTGTTTGCGTTTATTGAATTCTGCACGCTCATAATATGCATATAAGAGAGACGCTGCGTCTAGCTACGAAGTGGGTCGTGAATACTTCCTTAATACACTCGTATGTTGGTCATGGATCAGGGACTGGGTCAGCATTGGGAGGTGGGGGAATAGTAAAGCCGTTGGAGATTTCTTCTGACCTCTGCGTTATCTGGAATTGAGTGGCCATAACTACATGAATTTACTGGAGACTAGCCTAAGTTTATCATTCAGGTATCTTGATATTTTTCAGTTTTGAATAATCATGTTATCCACCAGTCATTGCAGTTCATTTAGGCCTCTGTAGATATGACTGTGGCTGTAGATCGGTGTGTCCCGAAATTACATTTACATCAGGCCTAGGACCTAGTTCGAGTTACATTAATTTGAACTTGGCCTATCACGATTTATCCAGCAGTCAATTGTCATTGACCCCTTGTAGATGGCGCCGTAGCTGTGGATCAGCGTGTCCCGAAATTACATTTTCATATAGGCCTAGGACCTAGTTCGAGTTACATTAATTTGAACTAGGCCTATCACGATTTATCAAGCAGTCAATTGTCATTGGCACCTTGTAGATGGCGCCGTAGCTGTGGACCGGCGTGTCCCTAAATATTAGTGTGTAATTGAATCACGACGATTTAATTCGACTAGAGAATAATTTTAGTTCACATGTATTCGGCCCCTGTAGATGGATCTGTGGATCGGCGAAGCAATTCCTGGAAAGTTCAACGTAATTTTAGTCTGAAAGTTTGTCTTAATAGTGTTACTTGACTACTTAGGTAAACTGTCCAGCGAGTACACGACATCTGACCGGTTGGTCGGTCGGATCGGTCACTAATCTTGTATGAATCAAGCCTGTGCTTAGTTTGTGAAGTCAGATGAAATATGTGATTCAAGATTCAAAATTTTGAGAAAATTCTACATCATTTTGATACACCAAACTTTGAAATCGAAGAACATTTGTTGACTTACTTTCTGGTCTTCTCTAAGTGGGTCAAAATACCTTTGACGGCAAACGTCTAAGCAGCAGATGCAGTATTGAAACAAAGATTGAAGGCAGCCTGTCTAATAGGTTTATGTTTGAAAAAAGAAATAAAAGGGTTGATTGAACTATTTGCCACGCAGATATAGAAAATCAGACGGTTTAACAAAGTATGCATGGAGGCCAACTTTGTCATTAGCGGGTCAACAAATCCTATAATGGTTAAGGGTAATAAACAAATTGCCATTAAGACAAACGTGGGCATAATTAGCTTACATGTTATTTCAAACTGACGCTGTACTGCACTGTTAGGAAACATAAAAGTTCGCTTGTACATGAATACCAACACTTTGGCGTAGAAAAATGAGCATACAATCAGATTGATAACGCTTAAAAATACCGTCACAATGGTGACACCGATTGTAATATTTTCTTCTTGAGGGGCACGCATAAATGTTTTACAGACACCCCACACGGGAACATGACCTGGTAGTGCGTATCCTGTTATATGAGGTATAACCGTGATCACAGTAGGGATGACCCAGGCAAGAACCAACAAAAATATAACACACAGTCTGCTTTTTAATATTTTTCGCATTTTTGAATGAGGCCGAGTTGAATAGAAATAATTTAGAGCCACAAGAGAAGAACTATACCAAGTTGCACCCATGCCTATTATAAAACAATGGCTGACAACATCGCATGCAAGACCTTCGACTGCTCCAGAGTTGCCGTTTCCAACAATAGTAGTGTAAATGGACATTGGATGAGTAACCATGGTAATAATTAGATCGGATAAAGCTTGGCTAAAAATCATCAAATCATTTGATTTGCGCAAGTTTTTTGATGTTATCAGAACAATGATAATGAATGCATTGCTCGGGACACCAGCGATCATTAATACTACCAATATGGTAACCTCAATCTTAAGTTCAGCTCTTGGTACTTCAAGATCCCGCAAGAAGGCTTGTACAATGAATGTCTTGGGGTCTGTAACACTTGTAGATTGATCTCCCTTGACATTTTCGTCTGAGCTGAAGTTCTCATGCGATGACCCAGTCGTAAACGAAAGCCATTTGTTCAACCCGTTACATCCAGGTGATCCCGCTGTTATGCTGTTATTTTTTATCGTTTCATTGAAAGCATGGATAGAACGTAGAGGAACCTCATCAGACTGAAAAAGACATGTTAGAAATGTGGTAGTCATGTTATGGTACGTGTTATGTTTATGTTATGGTACGTGTTATGTTTATGTTATGGTACTTGTTATGTTTATGTAATGGTACGTGTTATGTTTATGTTATGGTACGTGTTATGTTTATGTTATGGTACGTGTTATGTTTATGTTATGGTACGTGTTATGTTTATGTTATGGTATGTGTTATGTTTATGTTATGGTACTTGTTTTGTTTATGTTATGGTACTTGTAATGTTTATGTTATGGTACTTGTTATGTTTATGTAATGGTATGTGTTATGTTTATATTATGGTACGTGTTATGTTTATGTTATGGTCGTGTTATGTTTGTTATTTTTATGTTTGTTGTTTATGGTACGTGTTATGTTTATGTTATGGTACGTGCTATGTTTATATTATGGTACGTGTTATGTTTATGTTATGGTACTTGTTATGTTTATGTAATGGTATGTGCTATGTTTATATTATGGTACGTGTTATGTTTATGTTATGGTCGTGTTATGTTTGTTATTTTTTATGTTTGTTGTTTCTTGAATATAAAAGTGATATCACGTGATTGATGTTTCGTTACACTGGCTTTTGTCTTTGAGATCATTTGTGGGCTTTTACATAAAGATAAGGAGTTACCTTCTTACACAATCAGTCTCAACGAAAACTCACGTCGTCTCCTGATCTAGCAAGTGCTATTCAACAGAATAAGTAGTGACGATGATAAACATATAGCAAGGCATGTGTCCGATTCCAGCCAATCCGAACAAGCTATTCCATATACCTGCACTGCATTATATGACCAATAACCCATCCAAAGTCACTTGAATGGTTGTCAAGGGGACAACCAATGCGAAAAAATAGCTCAGAAGACAACAGAATCGTCAATTTAATACCTAAATGACAAAAGAGGAACAGTTTCTTTAGCATTTTACTTTCTTCTTTGTTGAAGCTTGACCTTTAACTGAGTTATCTGTAATTTTCCTAGTCTTACATATGACCATTGGATCTATCCACATAAACATGTGGTCCCCTCAACATGTTCTCCAAAGCAAATATGAGGTACCCTTGCCCATGCGCACATGCATTGTAATATCACACTGATTCTATCAATTATTTTTGCATAAGTTCATATAGGTCAGTTTGTGATGCTGTAAAGCGCTTTCAGAGGCCCTTCAAATAATCAAGGTTTTAAAGTGGGATGACCCTTGGGGCCAATCCATTGGGTAATTCAATGCTATCTTCTGATTTCCAAAGAGTTCTACCAAACGATCTGCCACACGCCTTTGAACCATCCTGTTGCCATCATACGTAACAAAATTGAACACTCTGACAATGAAATCTTGTATTTCTATCCAGGAAAGAAACAACTGGATCATCGATCATATCAAGATATCACTGTCCACAGTATTCACACCAAAACAAGAATTGATCACTTCATGTCCAACCACTAAGAAGTTGGCGCAAATCAGATTTCACATGCGCCTATAAAATCTGTCCTGTACAGCCAATCATGGACGGATTTTGAATCTGATGGTGTGGATTTATTCGAGAAAGACTGTTTATGGTATCTAAGTATATTTTAGGGATAAAGGAAAAATCATGAAAGATATTGAACCTTTTTGTAAGTGTAACATTTTTTAAGACACACTGTATAGTGTTATATATCATTTTAAAGCATATGATCATTCTCTTTCTCAGCACTCTTTCAGAATGAACAGGTTTTAAGTCCCATTTTATAAGTTGTCATGGTTACCAGATTCCCAAAAATACATTGAGTTTGTGCTTGGACGTGATATCACGTCCTTAGTAGTCAACGTATGTGTTAACTGTTTTTCGAAATTCCGTTTATGTTACTTAAGTGAGGAATTAAATGGACGATTCTGTTGTCTTCTGAACTATTTGTTCGCAACATGTAAATTTTCTTAAACATATGATACTAATACACGTTTGTGATAAAAATGTCGTGGGAATTTTGCCTACAATTTGTGAAATAAGGAAAAAAGAAAAATCGAACCTATGACGTTCCGACATTTTGTTACCGAAACAAACCGTTTCGGTAACCAGCGTAATCGAGCGGATCACCAGTGGTTATAACAAATTCTATACCATATCATTTAACATTGTGTTGCCAACTTTATTAACTGAGCCTGTAAACATGTAGAGAATTATGCTGAAATCCCGTTAACATAACATCATTATCATCGTTTTTGTAATTGTTGTACTTTTTAGCCCATTCGTTTACGTAACTTTAGTGAGGAAGAATATTGATGATTTTGCAGTCTTACAAGGAAATACGTTCGCAAAAGCATGGATTTTCTGAAACATATCACTCGTGAAATCATGGAAAAACAAAACCGTATTGATTGAAATCGTTTGCGCCATTTGTTTACGTAACTCGCTTTACGAGTTCCCCACAGTGAATATCACTAAAAAGATATTAAATGACCTAAAAAATATACTTTCAAGTATACCTTTTGCAATGTTTAATTTGTACTACTGTTTGCTGAGGCCCGGGTATACAGTCATTAATAAAAAAATCAGTCTTATTCTTATTAATAAAAAATCAGTCTTATTCTTATTCAATGTAAGTAATATAGTAATGTAGTAAAAGATTCTATTATATACATGTATACACCACACATTACCAACTCAGTATACTAGGGGACTTTTTAAACATTTTTTAACATATTCCTTGGCCTCAGACTGTTTGTGTCAGTTGGTACCATGGATTGTCGCCATGACGAAAATGCAACACTTAACATTTGACATAAACACATGTAGCTCGTTATTCCCTATGATTCTATTTATAGAATTTTACTCAAATATGAAATTATCAGCTGATCGGTTTCATTAGTTTCAATTGAATCTACAATGAGTGACCTTAGGTGAAATTTTGGTTATATAATACAATGTAGTTATTTGAAATAGCGTGTACGGATTTGCTGGAATCGGACACACCTTATCTAGCTTTGTGTGAATATTGTTTTACGTACGTGTCTCACATAAAAACACACACTGCAAGAAAAAACTTTCCATACGCACTTACGTTCGTGGACATCACGAGTGGCTTTTTAGTAAAATCATGAAAATCGATGCATCGCATATTCACTGCGGAATATGCTATACTTATTTGCGGGATATGCCATATTCCGCAAGTGAACGTGCTATATATTCACTCTTGCAGAATTGCTTATTCCATGTGATTAACTCACTATACATGTAAGATGTAATTGATCCATTTAACATCTAGTTCAACAAAATCGCGCTCTTTTCAAGATGGAGTCTAGTTCTAATTATTGCCGCTAGATGACCTCAGCGTATAACACAATACTGACAGCACAATCATGGATTGTGCCAAACTTACATTTGTAACTATAGTTTCATGTCATCACAACAACTCGTATCGCAAATACAGCGTTAACATTAATATCTGGCATATTTCGCGTAACAGGATCCATTAAATATTTCAATTTACTAGAATATAGGCACTGAGTACAGACTTTCCAATATATAAAGGCTCGGTGAAACATCTGAGTGCGTAATACTTCATTATGTTCTAATATATCAATTGTGTTGTGTCCTGTTGTTTTATATTATCCTATGTACATTTACCGAATGGATAATCTTAAAAACGCAGGACAACGTAAGATAAATAGTCCTCGTTGAAAGCCGGCTTTCAAAAGAATATGACTTTTAAATAAATAATTTAGCCTTATAAAATTATTTATTACATTAAAAAGAGATTTTGCAAATAATATAAAATCTCTAAAATTTAAATCAATTAATCTTACCGTAATTTGCGCGATAAGTACAAATAATATAAAGTCGCATATTTGTTGTAGTACGTGCCTTCCCATCGTAATAATGTTATCATTTTGTTGACAGTATTGCATAAATATGTTGTAGTCTGGAGGGATTGTCACATACATGGGTTCTTCCTGATATACTTTACATCATTATCAGAGTATCAACATGAAAGCAATATTTTCTATCAGTATTCGATTTCAAGATTTTAAGAATACACAGTGATGTATTGATATTCCTTCTTCAGGGTGTTCAAAAAACGCAACCCAAAGAAATCGCTATATCTTGAACAACACTTGTTATATTATTTTCATATTTACAGGAAAGAATTGAAGAAGAGAATGTGTGAGTAATAGCTCCTGTAGATGGTTAGTTGTAAAACATGATGCCTTGGACATCTGCTCAAAAGTCGGTTGTACTGGGAAAATACGAAAAACGCAGTCAGCGGTGATTGCAACCGCAAAAAAACTAAATAAAATAGTATTTTGGCTCTTGGTTTTGGCCTCAAATCATCTTGGTTCACTGTACGGTAAATCTGTACAGTGAAATCAAAATCACTTCAGGGACTTTACAGTCATGGTCGAAATGCTTTCAAATCGCAGTCAAATGCCCTGGTAAAATATAAGCCGGCCATTTTGAATTTTAAGAGGAACAAATCAGAAAACGGTACAATATTTGCCATTTACTCTAAAATAAAATTAGCTTTCATTTGAGTATAATGAAGCTGTACTTAAAAAATCTCTAAATTAATGTAAATTCCCATTAAATATTAAGAAAATCGATCCATTAGTATTCGAATTATCTTCCGAACGGACGGACGGCTTCACTGTATCCCAACAGAACTTCGTTCGTTGAGATAATTACTTGATCGATTAAATATAGTGGGGGAGGGGGGGAGTAATCCTCGAGGGTTATGAGTTATAACACCTTCGATTTGCTGTTATATTTTTGCAATGACCCCATTCCTTAGAACATGTTTAATGTACACGTGAACTTGTGATACATAACATGTGCAGGACTAAATCAACGGATTTCGACTAGCCACAGCCTTACAAGTTCTCGTAGAGACGCACAGCATAACCGTCCTAGTATATGAACTCAATGGCGTAGTTAAACTACCTACCTCTATGTCATGGAGTGTCACGTAATATGATCACTCACTTATTATGAAATGAAGTTTCCGTTACGTAAATCCGAATTTTGAATATCCAACTGAACATAGATGTTTGCATATAGCTGTTTCCCTATATAAAAATATCATAAATTGATTTATTTATTTCAAAAGAATTCTTAATAAAAACTATCAGCTGTTATCTTGCAGTGAGTGGCTTTGAGTTATATTAGGAAACGTTAACAAATTTTAAGAAAAGCACAACAAAGGAATTTAATTCATCGACAAGGTGCGTGGTTCATTTCAGCAAATTAATATTTTGCCAAGAGCATATTTCTCAACTTACAATATCTTTGAAAGTCCTGTTTCTTCACTCTTTCAACCCCCAGAGCTTGTCCTTGGTTAGAAAGATTATGCGATGATTTAGCAATGAACGTATAACAGTCGAGTTTCATAATGAACATACATACCAGTCAAATTTCAGAATGAACTAGTCGAGTTTCAAAATGAGCAAATACCAGTCGATTTCAGAATGAACCAGTCATAAGAGCCTGAATGAACATACCAGTCAAGTTTAAGAATGAAGAAATACCAGTCGAGTTTCAGAATGAACAAATACCAGTCAAGTTTAAGAATGAACAAATACCAGTCGAGTTTCAGGATGAACAAATACCAGTCGAGTTTCAGAATGAACCAGTCATGAGAGCCTGCATGAACATATATACCAGTAAAGTTTAAGAATGAACAAATACCAGTCGAGTTTCAGAATGAATCAGTCATAAGAGCCTGAATGAACATATATACCAGTCAAGTTTAAGAATGAACAAATACCAGTCGAGTTTCAGAATGAACCAGTCGTGAGTTTCTGAATGAACATATATACCAGTCAAGTTTCAGAATGAACTAGTCGAGTTTCAAAAGGAACAAATACCAGTCGAGTTTCAGAATGAACCAGTCATGAGAGCCTGAATGAACATATATACCAGTCAAATTTAAGAATGAACAAATACCAGTCGAGTTTCAGAATGAACCAGTCGTGAGTTTCTGAATGAACATATATACCAGTCAAGTTTCAGAATGAACTAGTCGAGTTTCAAAAGGAACAAATACCAGTCGAGTTTCAGAATGAACAAATACCAGTTTCATAATGAACATATATACCAGTCAAGTTTCAGAATGAACTAGTCGAGTTTCAAAATGAACAAATACCAGTCGAATTTCAGAATGAACCAGTCATGAGAGCCTGAATGAACATATATACCAGTCAAGTTTAAGAATGAACAAATACCAGTCGAGTTTCAGAATGAACCAGTCGTGAGTTTCTGAATGAACATATATACCAGTCAAGTTTCAGAATGAACTAGTCGAGTTTCAAAAGGAACAAATACCAGTCGAGTTTCAGAATGAACCAGTCATGAGAGCCTGAATGAACATATATACCAGTCAAGTTTAAGAATGAACAAATACCAGTCGAGTTTCAGAATGAACCAGTCGTGAGTTTCTGAATGAACATATATACCAGTCAAGTTTCAGAATGAACTAGTCGAGTTTCAAAAGGAACAAATACCAGTCGAGTTTCAGAATGAACCAGTCGTGAGAGCCTGAATGAACATATATACCAGTCAAGTTTCAGAATGAACTAGTCGAGTTTCAAAATGAACAAATACCAGTCGAGTTTCAGAATGAACCAGTTGTGAGTTTCTGAATGAACATATACCAGTCGGGTCGCCTAAATTTACATATGATATAAATATCATTCTATAGTCTTTGCGATGTATAAGTTATATCTGAAGACACTTTTACAAGTTTGATCTCAATCAAAAGAAGAGGAATGTCCTATTATTCCATTTATCATCAAGAAAAATGACCTCGAGATTTTTTATGGAAACTAAGAGAGCCAGTATGGGCAAACCTCATAGGGCATAAATTGCATGCATATGGTTTGTTCCCTGTATGAGTGTTCATGTGTCTTTTCATGGTATACTTTGTAGTAAATATTTTAAGGCAAACTTCACACTGATGGTCCCTTGATTGCTGATAGGGATTTGTACTTGTTTCTATAGCAACACTTGAGTTTGTTGGTTCTTCCCACCTGGACAACTGGCTCCAATTAGCTGGAAATACAAAAAAAGCTCTAGATTCATAAACCATATGTCTGAAATGTATTGTATATTCGAACATGACTGTATTCACGCCTTCTATAAACTGTGAACAAAGTTAATATTTCACCTGGTATGTATTCGTCGACACTGCACCTGGTAATACGAGTAATGTGTGACGTGATAACGGCGGGCCATGATGAATAATCGAAAATGTTGGTAGTTTTCATGTTTGAATCGTAATATAGACCCCATAGCAGGTGATATATCGACAAATGGATACCTTAGGGCAGGCACAAAAGCTTTTCGAACCCCACAGAAATCGTTGTGCGGTATGTATTCGTCAATATAACACCTGGTCTTCTGTCTTTGTTTCTTAATTAAAGTAAAGTAATGTAACAACTTTATAAGAAAGCATTACAAATGAGTGATCTGATTTTGACCTACAATATGAATCCATCAATTATCATTAAAAACATCATTACAAAATGTGCTATCAATCACAATGCCAACTATATCAAATACAATATGAACAATATCAAATACAATGAACCATGTCAAATTCAATATCAACCATATCAAATACAATATGAACCATATCAAATACAATGAACCATATCAAATACAATAATATCAACCATTTAATTACAGTGCAGTTGTAAACCACTTAAAAAGTGCTCAAAACAAAAATGAAAAAGTGCATTTCAAAAGAATTTATGGCATAGGTTGTTCGCTCTAACCCCGGGCTCTAACCACCCCTGCTCCCCTCTCTTCTGAGTGCAGGCAGATTACATGTATGTGAGGTACCTTCCTATCGCATCGTTCCGGTGTTTCTTCTTGTGTCTACTCAATGAGCCATCATTTGAAAATGTTGCAGAACATATTGGACAAACATACGGCTTCTCGCCAGTGTGGATGAACATATGCCTCTTTAGGGCCTGGTTTGACCTGAACTGTTTCAAGCAAAGCTCACATTGTTTCATCTCTATGTGAATAGATGGAGCTAGCGATGCAGGAATCGAGGCTTGTTGTTGTTGGTTGCCAGGTGATTTGGGACTCTGAGTATACAGATGCTGCTGTAACCATGGTAACTGAGTGTTCATCATTTCTGAAAGTATAATTCATTTTGGTTTAACAACAAATTAAATTTAAATAATTGTGATTTAGTTGGAATCAACTGTGAATTGTGAATGGATTCTGATTGACTGACACACTACATAATACACGTTGGCTAATAACAATTTGATATTACTCAACTAAAAGTTGTGAAAACTCTGTTAGCTACAATGTAAAAGAAAATGACCCTTCCTATCCTCCCAATTAATTCAAATGAAATTAAGGTAATCGTACAATGGTAGCATTCCCCTTAAGAATAATTATCACTGTTGTATAAAGAATTTTGTGTGCTTGTCGAGGGTAGCAAACTATCAGCTAGGTTAACAAAAAATACCAATGCTGCAAAACAAATAGTACTATTTGAAAATATTTGAAAATATGGGATTAGAAGCAAGTCATATACAACAAATGCAGACGAACAGGGAAACAAACACTATACATGTAGTGTTAAGTCAATAATTTATAATATTTGAAAGATTAAACCTAAATTATATTTATCGAATATTGTCGTGTCATCTTTTACATTTGACCATGGGCTTTCAACTAGAAGGGTAGGCAACTTCCCATATTTCATACATAAACATTGCCATGGGTTTTCAAAATTGGAGAATGTACACATTCCAAGAAAATCTTATTTTGTACTTTTTATTGATGATTAAAACAAATAACTCAAAAATAAAAACATGATCTTCTACATACATCTTGATAATTTAATAAAAATTGGAATTCATCATAATTATGACAATACAGAAAGTGAACATTCTCCCACAAATTATGTTTTTATTGGAATGTGTTCTTGAATAATTACCCACAATGCAATACTCAAAGAGAACATCTTGATAACTCTTATTCTTATTGCCGTCTCTTTTGTTTACTTTTATATGATATTGAATATATTCTATGCTTGAATCATATTAAAAATTGATTTTTATTCAAAATAATACTAAAACATACATTTATCTAGTACTTTTTGAAATATTGCCATAAAAGGGAAGCATGTCATTGCTCATTTTGAAGGTCTCATGTTATTGCATAGAGTTGCATACCCTTCTAGTTGAAAGCCCATGATTTGACAAACGATCATAAATCTCAACGATAGCTTTTATCAAATCAGGAAATTGTTAAAATGACTGCAGGTTTACTGAAGTCAATTCTTTCGATTTTAAATGAGTTAGTTTTACTGCTCTGCATGCCTGAGTTGTCACATAAGTTTTCTTTGCAACTTTATCATTTATATTAATTCTTGATCACCAGGGCCAATGCATTGCTTCGGCATAAAAGCATGATACAGAAAATCAACTTTTACACCTTTATAGTTGTGTGAATAGGAATCTAGCCACTAATTATTTCAGACATAAAACTTGAAGATTTCGAATACACACAAAAATACAGAGTGTTCAATAATTACTAATTAAAAGGCTATAACTTCTATATTGTTTCATTTTTCTCATTTACACATTTTTGTTCACTACTATATCTAAAAAGCTATAACATATGAACAAACTTGTGTAATCAAAATTATAAAATGATATATTTTGTTGACATTCAGATAAGTGCTATACATTTACAGTATGTACATATGTATAAAGCAGTGGGATCTGGCAAAGTTCTATGTACTGGTAAGAGCCATACAAATAATATTATATTAGTACATGTATGCGTTTTAAAGAGATGAATCACTTTCAAAGGGAAGCTGTGAACAAATATCTTAAATGCTGCTGTACCATATGCACACTATTTGCTATTGTTACCATTTTAATTCAAAACGATCATTTTATACATATTTACCAACTTTAAATTTAACATGACTCTTCAAACTAGATGTTGAAGTTCACATTTATCCATTTTCAATGATGTTTGGTTAGGGCTTATAATTTCAGCAAATTTCAAGACTAAGAAAAATGTATGGTACCAACATATATTAAGTAGACCTTCCTCTACACCATGTAAAAATATGAAAGGATTCCTGCTGGTAATAAAGGAAATATAGCTTGCTACAAGTTCACTTTTTTGGATCTATATAAGATCTTTATAAGCACTCGCCCGGAAAACGAGAGGTCATGGGTTCAATCCCCACTGGTATACACTGACTTTTTCACATGGCCCTTTTCTCAGAATTTCATTCTATGTTTTCATTAAACAAATTATGTACAGTAATAATTCACTGAATCAATTACTTCAATCTCTTTGTATTTTGTCATTTAAGCAATACACGAGTGGCACTTTTTTACATGTCCACGTAGATTCGATTGTGCAGCGAAACTGGCTGGACAATACTGACAACTGAATGGCTTATTTCCAGTATGGATGTTTATATGAACGTTAAGATTGTCCCTTCGGGAGAATTTCTTTCGACACACTGGGCACTCAAATTTCTTTGCATATTCTGTTTTGCGCTTTATTCCTCTTTTGCTTTGTTGTCCCATTTTAAGCCATGGATGTAGGGTCTCTGAAAAATATACAGAGATATATGAAAAATTACATTAATCAAAATTCATTTTGTTGCAAGAGTGATTACATGTATGTAATATATGATTGAAAAGCTTACAAAAATAAAGTTTTTGTTCAAAAATTCAAAATACATTTGAATTTATCTCGATAGTAAAATATAAAGTAAAAAGTTCCTATCTAATATGATAATTCCATTATCCAAGAAATTAGTTCATAACCGGGTTCATAACACATATAATACTAACTTCAACAAAAACTGGATCATTCACAAGACTATGTTGATTAATTCTTTGAATACCCTTCTCTAAATCATAGCTATGAGATAATTAACTTGATAATCATGCATACTGGGAAGAGAGGCAACAATACATCAAAATATCCTGGAGACCTCCAGAACCCCCTCCCCCTGATTCTGTTTTATTGATGTGCCCTTACTAACCATCTCGATTCACAAGGTTTCAGTTGCTCCAATTTAACCTTGATGTTCTAGTATATGATTCCTTTGCTTAAGTAAACAAAACAAAATTCAATGATACTCTCAGCAAAGACACTGAACTCCAGTATGATTACACAAGGGAAACATCAATTCAATTACTTCTTTCAACGGACACCTCATTAAGGGCCATAAGACTCATAAGTGGGACCCCTAATATTCAGACACTTTTGATTACCCCCCCCCCCCCCCCCCCCCCCCGTGATGTTCACCACTGGCATGACACACCACAGAGTAACAGGACAGAAAAATAAGCATTTGTATCCAAAGTGTATTATAACCATGTGTTGGAATTCAAAGAGGCTTACTGACATTAACATTAAGAGGCTTTGTCACTAAACCAATGTATATTTACAAATATTAGAGGAGGGAGAAAAATCAATCATATCTTGCTAAAATACATCTATTCTTAAAAGAAAGGGCCATTTTTAATTTGAAATATGTTTAAATCAATATACAGGTAAATGTTCTATTACATTTCAGAGGGTCAGTCTGAAATGTATTTAATTACTACTTGGGACTGTACTGTATTGAAATTATGATCTGGGCCCTTGTAAGGAGTCTGTCTGAGTTACTCACTTCGAGAGCCATGTTAGATTTTGAAACGTATATTATATCAAAATCCATATAGCTTTCGAAGAAAAACATGTCTGAGGAGGATCAGTATAACATGGTCAAGACGCTCTATGATTCAGATTCCAGTTCAATCCAGAAAATACCAGTTCTTTCAACCTTCTTGGATTTCACTGATGGCAAAAACATCCTTTGCCTTGGAGCATCGTTATAATGCATCCTTCGAAAAGATGTGAAAAAGGAGTTACTAAGTTAAACCTTGACCTTTGACCAATGACCTTGACACTTCTCTGCTGAAATCATCACTAAAGAATTCAACGAGTTTCATGGGTTTGAGTATACCTGTTAAGGATGGTACTTTTTCATATGTCCAGTAAGATTAGAGGCAGCAGCAAAACACGCTGGACAGTGTTGACATTTAAATGGTTTGTTTCCAGTATGAATGTTAATGTGATAATTTAGATTTCCCCTCTGAGAGAATTTCTTCAAACACATTGGACACTCAAATTTCTTCTTGTGTAATATTGGTCTAAGTGGAGTTGAACTATGCTTGGGTCCAGTATCGATGTTGTGATATAAACTGGCACGTTCCCGTCGATGTGGTGGAGTTCCAGACAATGGACGTTCAGTCCCTGAAACAATAAAAACAAATTATTCCAGTTTGGTTGACAACCAATTATGGATTAAAGTGTCAATGTTTTTTCTGAAATTAACCAACTTTTATATTTCAACCCTCCAATTAAAATAAATTATGCTTCTCTCAAAATGACAAATTAGTACTTGACTTTGCTCAAATATATAAGACTAAACAAACAGGACACCGTTATATGATAATAATGACTTAATTATTAATTAAGACTCAGAATATTCTACTATATTCTCTAAATTATGGCTAGAAGATACAACTAGATAACAGCAATGCCAAGGCGAGGCAAATCCCATCAAACAGCCATGGCTTCCATTTTTGAAAATCATCACCTATTAACCAAATCGCCACTAAACAGTGTATTGAAGTATTCACATATAAACTTTCAACAAAATCGCTTCACCATTTCCCAGGAAAGCAACAACGTAAAATAACAAACATAAAAATGGCTGCCATTTTTTAAAATGGCCACTCACTACCCAAATTTTCATGATAAAGTGTAAAATGCTTCTATTTATTCACGTATAAAATTTAAACAAAATAGCTCCTTTATTTTTCCAGTTAGAGCAAAAAAACATATAAAATAACAGGCATAAAAATGGCCAAAAAATGGTGGCCCTCTCACTGGCCAAAGAAGAAGAAAGTGTAATGTGCTCTAAGTCTTCACATATAAAATTTCAACAAAATTATTCTACTACTTTTCAAGTTATAGTAAAAACGTAAAATAACACACACAAAAATGGCAGCCATTTTGTCAGAGAGAGTACCATACTTACGACAATCCACATATCATTTATGAACTACTTTTCCAGTTACAGCATTGTAAAATAGTGAATTTTTCCTTTTTTATTTAAATATTTTTTAATCTTAATTCATACCCTACACATTTCTTTTGCATTTAAAACATATTAATATTGCAGTTTTATATGTTGTACCTAAAATACTGTATAATTGACACTAAAATGGCGGCCATTTTAAAACTGGTGTCCATTTTGAAAAATGGCTTTTGAGCAGAATTTGTACTCACATGGGGCATACAGGTACGAAATACAAACAATATTGGGCCAACAGCTTTTGAGTTATTGCCCAAACATTTTGTAATATAGAAATATATGGACAGATGTAAGGACGGATGTATGGATGGACAGATAGAGCCCTTCACTATATCCCCCCCCCCCTAACATCGCTGGATGGTATAATTGATTTTCTCAACTTACTTACTGGAAATGAGGGAAAAGGAAATTCAATCCTCTAAGATAATGATGCAACAAAATATCAAAGAGTCAATGTGAACTGTAATATACTGAAAATAGTTTTTTAATCAAATTTCAAAGGAAAGGGAGTGCAAATAGTTCAAAGTTGGAAGCAATCTTGGAAAAAATATTTCCCTTACGATCCTGAATGTATTTTTTGAAAAAAGAATTAAGATGTTCAAGATGTAGAAATATCCAAATTCATTGGAGTAAAAAAAGGATAAGCCCTATGTGATATTCTTTTATAATTTTTGCTAGTAACCATGCATTAAATGTTTTGAATAAAAACTACAACAGAAATTCCTAAATACCATAAAAAATTGACTGACCTCCTTAAGCCTCCCTTACATTGGCACCATTTCAGGTATGATTCATTTGAACATAGAATCAAATCTAGTCCTATACTAAGGCCTGATATGATCCTGTTTGAAATTCAGGTGTGAAATAAAAAAAGAGACAAAAATTATAAATTGTTATTCTCTCCTTTTTTGATATAATTTATTACAATTCGCACAAATCTTTAGCAGTTTTACAATGCAGGTATATGATATTCTGTTACACTTTAACGTTCTTATCACAGATTCAAAATATTATAAAGAAACCTGAGGTCAACAACCTATTTGACATTTCCAGTAAAGGAGAAAGACGTAAATTTCGCATAATTTCTGTAAACTTGATTCATTCTGAAATATCCTGAAACAGAAGAAGTATCTCAAACTATCATACACACTTTATTTCTAGATGCCTCTTTCTCCTGAGTATACTATCTGACATTTCCTAAATAGGTCAATATTTTTTATTGAATCATAATTCACCATCACTTACCTTGATATACAGGGTGTCCATAAAATATCTTTATACTTTACACTGACTTCATGTATTGTAATTGTAAAAAGATTTTGGATACCCTGGACTTTGGATACCTTGTTTTATATAGAGAGGATCCAAACATGTTCTTGTATCACACATACAGTAAGACACAAGATGTTAATAGCAGCATAAAAATTAGGAGTAAAATTTCCTTTATTTTTAATAAGACGAGTGGTCAGTTCTTATATTCTTGAAAAGAGAAGTTTAAACCTTTGAAAGGTTACTTGCTAATCTTGGTACCATTGGAAAGCTCACCATGTGTACTACAGCTAACACGCTTGATGACTAAAAGTTCAGAACATGTGAGAAACTTCTTAAAGATGAAAAATGCTGGTTTCCATGGTAAATGCAATGTTATCACTGTTAATCCCCAGAACTATAACATGTTATGCATGTGACGAAATGCATTTAGGGAAGGGGTAATGCATGAAAATGTTTAGAAAATATTCCCTTCATTCTTAAGGTGAGAAACTTCTTAAAGATGAAAAATGCTGGTTTCCATGGTAAATGCAATGTTGTCACTGTTAATCCCCAGAACTATAACATGTTATTCATGTGAAGAAACGCATTTAGGGAAGGGGTAATGCATGAAAATATTTAGAAAATATTCCCTTCATTTTTAAATAGCATTTTTAAATAAAACTTGGACAGCATTTCTTCAGATGTCTTTTAAGATTAGACGCTGCGGCATATCTCGCTGGGCAACGTTGACATTTAAACGGCTTGTTCCCTGTGTGAATGTTATTATGATAATTCAGATAGCTTTTCTGGGTGAATGTTTTTAGGCAAATTGGACACTGAAATCCTCCATTGCTTGACCTTGGCTGGTTGTGTCCATGTGGTTGCTGTGGTGACTGGAGAGTGGGTGCATTAGGGGGTGCTTGGAGAGAAGGTGCTATATACTGCTGTGGTGATTGTGTAGCCTCACTAGACAAAGACCAGGTTTGTGAAGCTGAAACAAAATGAAACTAATATTAATGTTAGATGCAGTTTGATACCACACCTAAGATTCATATTATTTAGCATAATATTGTGCATAATTTACACTATAAAATTGAAGTGAGTTATCCTAGGCTTCACTTTTCACTTTTTTTACATGAGGCCAATATCATAAATATCTAGTCTCTAGTGATCTTTGTATCCATATGTCCACCAGGCCATCTTTCATCAACTATTCCCACAAACATATTTACTCTAAAATCAATTTTGGCAGAATTTCTTGATTAAAAAATAAGATATCTGTATTGAATATATGTTGTTTATTTTTGTATGTTTTTCATTTCTATGTTATTTTGTATAGTATTAGAAATATTGATAGTCCTGCATACAAATAAGCCAGAAAAATAAAAATATAGGGATTTTCTCAAACTTGTAACTGAGTTGCCTTATAAATAGGCTCACATCTGAGCACTATTCTAAGCTGTTATGGAGAACTAGTGACTGATGAGAGATGATACTTCTAATTCAGTTGAACCTACATTCACTGAATTCATTTACAATTTTCGAGGCCTTTTGTTTTGTTAGAAACGATTTGTTGCTTACTGATCATTGATACAGTCATGAATATCACTTTAAAATACTGATATTAATTTACTTTGAATTCTTAATTTATTTCAACTCTTATAATATGATTAATACAATATCAATCAAACAAGCCAGATATGATATCCTATGATTTTCTGTGGATGTCCTTTGGAGATATCAATAATGAGTGGATAAAAGAGATATCCCAAGAACATCAAAGAATATGATATCTATCCTATGAATAAACTGAGTTCCTTTAAATTGAAAAAGATGTATCTAATTGTAATAACTAACTTATATTATCTAGGATATGATATTTATCCTATGAATAAATTTAATTTCTCTAAATTGTAAAAGTATTGTAATAACTTACTTAACATAACATGCTGTACACTGACTTTCCATACAAGGGCACAATTTTATTACTGACAGTTTGCACTTTAACTTAAATGTGGATCCTTATTTACAAGAAATTATGTCCATTGTGCTGGTGGACAACTGAAATTTGCCAGGCAATGATATTTCATTCACTCGGCTCTCGTCTAAATGCAGTAAACACCAGTTGTGCAAAAATGTGACAATAAAAGAATATTACACTTTAAAGATGTAATACTTAAAGATGTTATACTTAACATAGTTGCTGTGACTATGATTCATGTAATTTTTTATCTTCCATTAAAAATGTTTGACATGATTTTTACATATTAAAATAACATTTTACAACATGCACCCAATATTCCATATTCTTGTGGTATTCACAGTAGCTTCAGGGGTGAATAATTACAATAGTTACGATATCCATAGTGAGCACCATCAATAATAACCATAGTTCCACAGTGAGCACTATCTTATCTGTCATATATTGCTGTACATAAATGGTTTTATATAGAATATATAAAATAGATGGTACTCATTGTGCATTCATCTTCTAGGGGATCTCACTCTAGATTGGGGTAAACATTTTTTCCTATTGTATCTAATTTTTTCCTCGTCATGTTTTGAAATACAAGAACAGCGAGAGAATTATGATTTTCTGTCCAACCCAAAATATCAAATAATCTAAAACAAGGCATTAACATGCACAACCTGCCATTTGTTACACTATTAATTCTTATATACACCCCCAAAATGCAATCTGGTTTTTGACGCCGTTCCGGTGCAGTGTATGGACTGACTAGTCCGGTGGCAAATTTTGATGTCGAAAGGTTTGGGTGCCAGAATGGTGCCGAAACGGTGCTGGAACAGCGCCAATTTTTTTCGATGCCGAAATGGTGCCAAATTATATTGGCTGTGTAGCACCTTTAAATAAAACTTGGACAATTCTTATATAGCACCTTTAAATAAAACTTGGACAGCATTTCTTCATGTGCCATTTGAGATTAGATGCTGCGGCATATCTTGCTGGGCAACATTTGCATTTAAATGGCTTATTGCCTGTATGAATGTTATTATGATAATTCAGATAGCTCTTCTGGGTGAATGTTTTTAGGCAAATTGGACACTGAAATCCCCCTTTGCTTGACCTTGGCTGGTTGTGTCCATGTGGTTGCTGTGGTGACTGGAGAGAGGGTGCATAAGGGGGTGCTTGGAGAGAGGGTGCTATATACTGCTGTTGTGATTGTTCAGCCCTACAAGACCCGATTTGTAAACCTAAAACAGAATAAAACTAATATTATGTTTGATATTTCTCATATTCAGTTTGATACCACCAAAGATTTAGTGTATTATTTATATAAGCATTACTATTTGCCTTATGCTGTGCATGGTTTACATGAATAAATTGAATTGAATTGAGTTACTCTGTTATGTTAAGCCTTCATTATCACTTTATCTACATTAGGCCATGGCCAGTATCATAAATATGTAGTTTCTATCTATCTCTTATATATAATAAACATATGCCCATCATCAATTTTGGCAGAATTTCTAGATGTTAAAAATGACATTTCTGTGTATATAGCATATATTTTGCTTATGTTTTATATGTTTTTCAGTTCTTTGTTATTTTTTATATGAAATGGAGGCAGTCCCGCATACAAACCTGAAAAAGCATACGGGTTTTGTCAAAGTCTCAACTGAGCTGCCCTATAAATAGGCCCACATGTGACAACTCTTACAGGCTGATATGCAGGACTACTGACTAGTAAGACAGACCTGCAATGACTGAAATCATCACAATAAGGGTTGCATTATCAAGAGGCAGGCCCTTTGTTTTGTTAAAAATGATTGCCTACATTAAAACACAGTCATTGATAGTCATGAATATTACTTTAAAATACTCATGTTAATTAAGTTTTAATTCTAAATTTTATTTCAAATCTTATAAAATGACTTACAATATCAATTAATAAAAAACAAGCCAGATATGATATCCTATGATTTTCTAGGTATATCTTTTTTAATTTAAGATATCAATAATTAGTGAATGAAAAAGATATCCAAAGAACATCATAGGATATGATATTTATCCAATGAATAAACTGAGTTTCTCTAAATCGAAGAAGTTGTATCTAATTGTAATTATTAACTGGACATCAACTACTATACACTGATTTTAGATACAATGGTGGAAAATTGAAACCTGACAATTAAAGAATATTACACTTTAAGCAGCTATGGTGTATAATGCCAGCATTTGCTGGTATCAATGAACTGCCAGCTGTTGGCTGATATTTGATTGCTATTATATGACCAACTCATTTAAATATGAATAGAATGTAACCTAATACTATTCAAATGAGCTGCCCATAAAATTGTCAGCCGACAGCTAGCAGTTGAATTTGCCAATGCTAGCTTAATGATTCATGTCATTTTAATGTATATCTTCTAAAAAATTATTAAAATTTTCTGTTTAACCCAAAATATCAAATAATTAAGTTATCCAATGATTCCAGTTAAATAAAGAAAATAAAGAAAAGAATTCCTGAGGAAGCTCACCTCCGTGTGGAATAATACTACAGATTCTGGGGTCCATTTTGGAATTGTTGTAACTAACAATTTGGTCGCAAATACTTATTCGCCAAAAGGTAGTCTTTTCCTTAGATCATAAGTTGTGTTTGTACCAAAAATGAACCCCTGTATCACATGAAAATGAGAATATATATACATTAAATGTGCCAATTAATTGCTATAAAATCACAGCCAATAGGCACATTTCAAACATTTTAAAATGCGCAAAAATATCTGAAGAAAATATATATTTCAAGTATCAAATCAGTCATTTATCTGCTTCATTCATTAATGGTCCTTTTTCCTGTGTCTTGTAAGATTGCCAGGAGCATTATAAGCTTTCCCGCAAATATTACATTTATATGGCTTCTCGCCAGTATGGATGTTCATATGAATCAGCAATCCTGGCCTGGTGGCGAATGTTTTCAGACATAGCTGACATTGGACATCTTCTTCTGACGGTGTATCTTTCCTGTATGGACTCCTATAGTTGTCTCTGTGTGAAGGATTATAGCCAGGATTGGCAGCTGGTTGGAGGACGTACATTGCCTTGTTATATGGGTAAACACCTGGAAATAAGAATATAACAATTATATTAGTTCAATTGCAGATATTTCATCTATTCTAGATTCAGAAAACAGAAAGTTAGAATCAATTATAAATGTATATCATGTACTGCTATTTATTAACCAATTTCTTCCACATTTATTGAATAACAAGACATTCCACGCTTATTGAATAAAAAGACATTCCATGCTTATTGAATAACAAGACATTCCACGCTTATTGAATAACAAGACATTCCACGCTTATTGCATAACAAGACATTCCACGCTTATTGAATAACAAGACATTCCACGCTTATTGAATGACAAGACTTTTTGAATTTGCAACAATAAGAAAAAGAGCTGCTGGTAGTTCCTGAAGATCTTTTTTCACCAGAGACAAACATAATAAGTAAATCACCATGATGCAATTATGAATTTCATTATCATATACCCTTTTACTCAGTAAAACCTGCCAAGGAAAATTCTCCAGACTGGCCAAAAATGTTCCTTGTAGACAGGTGTTCCCTACAGAGTGGGGACTTTAACATGTTAATTAATAGAAAAATATATTTGGTTCTTTTGAAAACTGTGCCCTTGTAGATGTTGCTTACAGAAAGGTGTTCCATTGGACAGGTTTTACTGTATTATGCATGAAATTTCCTCCTATTATATTCAATTCTATGTTCATGTTGTAAATTAACTATAAACCCCAAATGGACACATGCAGTTACAGAAACACTTTTTTGAACAACCAATGATAAAAATTACAATACAAAGGAAACATTTGAGGCACAAATAATCTGTTTAAACTCAAAATTTAGAACAAGAGTACAGAGTAACCAACTTAGAGACCAATCAGTGACATTGATATTGGATATGACCTTGGCATCTTGTGAGTTGTGACCCCTACCTCATGACATTAACCCAGAAGTCAAAAATAGGTTATACTTGCAACCTTTAACTGCATGCTAGAATAAAATCTTATTTACTGGAGCATCATACTTTATATCAAATTATGATATTTGCCTTTTTGCAAAATAAATTAACTTTAACCTCAAAATGACTAATTGGTACAGAATTTCTGTAATGAGATTGCTGGACTGCATATCTATGCTGTAAATGGTCTTATTCAACTCTTTAGTCTAGCAGCACATTTTGTAACAGAGTCATAGGGCCCAACTATATATTTTGCATAAGTTTCTAACATTATCGCAGGGATTTAAAATAGCAATGTTGTTTTGCATCTCCATAAAAACAGAAATTAAAAAATTGTCTTGATTGTTTGTTGAAATTATTGAATACTTGATATTGCAGAAAACTATGTTTAGTATAGCAATCCATACTAATATGAGCAATTTACATTAAAAATCAAACTTTAATGTATATCCACTAACATTGTCGCCATGCTGTCTATATCACTGAAAAAAGCTATTGATGGGGTGGTATTTCCTCTTATGGTAAGACAGGTTGCTAGGGTGTTGAAACGCAGATCCACACTGGTGACATTTAAATGGCTTCTCTCCAGTATGAATATTCATATGGTAAGTCAGATGCTGCGATGTTGTGAATGTCTTTAGGCAAATAGGACATCGAGGACGTATCTTCTCTTTTGATGTTGTCACCATTGCTGTTGCTGTTGCTATTGTTGTCTCTATGGTGATGGCAGGCTTCCATCTGGCAACTGGAAAATTAATGTGTTTGTATGTGTTAATTCATGTGCTTCTACATGTTACTTTAGGCAGGACTTCTTACACTATTCTACAATTAAATATTGCATTTAAGAGTCACATCCTATCTCTATGTATATAACACTAGGACACACAATGCAGGAATATTTAGATTTGAAATGAGATGTGACTGTTCTAAAACCTGCAATAAGGAAATTAATCTAAACAAGCCACTATGATTATTCACAGCTATAAGTGTTTCATCTGAATGAATTACTCCCTTGTTGGACAGTGGAAGTTTGTCTAATTACCTTCAGCCTACACATACATAATATAACTGCCATCAGGCGATCAGTTGGTTTTATTAGATAATCCACATCATCAACCTGGCACTTCCTGATACTGCTTCATATACCTTAAATTTTCTTAGCTACTGTAACGACCCTTGGGCACGTCCATCGGGGAGCTGTAGTGTACTGAGCCAGATACTAGACTCGAAAGAGAGTGTGCTAAATTCAATCCCGCGTATGGGAATCGAACCCAGGACCTTCCGCTCTCAGACTCTCTACCCCTGAGCCATAAGGACTAGCCTCTACAGCTGAGACTGTAGTAGCGACTTGTTATCGAAGGTCATTACACTGCTATCATCCATAAATAGTCAATTGCCTCAACAAATCAGAATCAAAAGTCAGAGTGAAATTTTTGGCACCCAAAATATCAGAGTGATAATCATAACCAATCTTATAATTATTTTTGCTTATCATGTCATAGTCACAGATCGAGTAAGACAGTGTTTGCATAAATAAAGATTTTCTTTCTTGTATTAATTTTTTTATTTATTTTAATCCAAAAATACATAAAGATGTGACAAAACTAAAATCATATATAAATCGAATATAAACTTATAAAGTTGTTCACTGGACATACAAGTAATGTATGGTACCAAAGACTTGATGCAATATTGAATAGAACTGAAACATATATTTTACTTTAGATCCTATTTTCCACAAGTTACTAAGCCGACCTACCAAGCCAGTCAACCTCGATAAGAATTAATCACCAAAGTCCCAATATCCTACCAACAGTAGCTTACAAAGTTCAATAGACATAGGACAGAATATTTTACAGTAGGTTTTATCTTAAAAATGTCTGTGTCTGCTGGAATAATACCTAAAGGTATGTAGCAAAAAGTAATTCAAATCATTTCGGAGAAGATGATTTTCTGTTTCTTGCTCCAATATATTCTTTGCCATGCACATCAAGAACATGTCTTCGAAGATGCGTCATCCTCCGAAATAATTTACAGCATATGTGACATGCCAAGGATTTAGCTTCGTGAATCTTCATATGTTGATTCAGGTTACTCTTTGATGTGAACTGCCTGTTGCATACCACACATTTAGTTCTATTGTTGGAGTCTTGCTCAGGAGGCTCATTCAACTGATCAAGTGTTGCAAATCTTGACACAGCATTATCCTGGTTGTATGGGTTCATTCTCAGGATAAAAGTGTTGCTCATTCCTGAAATAAGAAAAACAAATTATAAGTATATTTTAAAATGTCACCACCATTTGTTAAAGATGCAGAATGCCGAACACCATCCACTTGATTATCCTAACTTACACGACATACCATACATGATCATTTCTAAAATAAGGAAAGTCTACTGACAGAGCACAATTTCTCACCAGTGTGAATCTTTATATTCTCTTTGCTACCGTCTGATCTGATTATCTAGATAATAATTGATTAATATTGATACCTACATATATATTTGTGACAAAACAATGACCTTTTAAATTCTATACATTGCTATTTATATTTTTATTGTAAAATGGAGCCATAATTATTGAGCAGATCAGTTTTAATGATTTGGAGTCTAGAGGTAAAGAGTTAAAGATATGGTCTGAGTACTTTCCTGTGGCAATTATTTTAGTTCTAGTATGAACCATATTTTAAACACCAGAAAATTATGCTACAAACTAATATCAATGACTAACTTTATACAATTCTGACCTTTTGAAATCTTCAGTTTGAAAATTCATATTTTACAAAAGAGTTCTATAAAAATGTGTCAACTCTAAGATATCTTGAAAAAATTTAGCGTAAAGTACTTTCAATTCAAACCTCTACAGGAATAATCTAAATCATTTCTTTAAGATTTATTTTGATTTTTGTATATAGACAGTACAGTTTATATTGAACATTTTTGAAAGGGCCTTTTATGTGCACAATTTATTTCACTGGTATTTTAGCGGCTTTGTATAAAAAACCACCTTACAAAGCCTATTTTAGCTAAGAGTCCATTGATCCCTATCATCTACCAAAGTATCTTTTCTTTAAAGTGCAATATACAGGTTCGACCATGGAATCAACCACAGCCTAAAAGACGATAGAAATAACTTTTACATAAGGGCGGGGCAATCAATCAATCTGTGTTTATTTATTCTCTTCTTTTCAGTTACTAGGATTCTATCAAAACCCTGGAATTAACAACAATAAACCTCAAAATTATTTCAGATGAACAATGTATTCTGATAAGCAATTATGACTACAGTACTTCACATCTATCTCTTAATTACGCAATCACAACATAAATAAATAAATAAATGACATATTCAGCCATCATTGTAATGACATCATTTCCTATGGGTTGCTGGTTGTTAACAATTCTTATATTACATGTATACATTACTTCACTACCATCTAACACTGTTGGCTTCGAGTCTCTTTGAGGAAATCTATGGTAGATTAATTTATGTATGATAATACATGTAGTAGGACTTGAGGATATTTCAATGATTTTAGCCAGGGTAATACATTTTGCGGAATCATGGAAAATGCAACAGGTATTCACCAAAATAGTATGAAATATTTGCTTAATTTGTCACTGTTATATTCATAATACATCCTCCTTATTATAAACCACTCCTAGAGTTTCATGTCAATGTGCCTGGTTTGGAAACACATGTGTTCAATCTTACAAGATAAGCTTCAAATACTAGTAAAAATAATCTATGTATCATCTCCAAAGCCTGCAAATGGACTTTTCTCCCTGTGTACTCTCTCATCATGTGTCCTCCTATGTCTATGCATTGTACCACTCTGTCTGAACATCTTATGGCACAAATCACATTTAAATGGTTTTTCTCCAGTGTGGATCATTAAGTGGGTCTTATACACATGTAAAAACTCAAAACTTTTCAGGCAGATTTTACAAATGAATTGTTTTTGGTTTTGGCTCTCCTTTGGAGGGACAGACTGTTTCGAACTGTGTAAGACCCCTGGCTGTGGTAGATTATACAGAGACAGACTGTGCTGTAAAAGACTATGAGGAGCTTGTTTCATGGGTAGAGTAAGGCTTGGTAGACCCCTATATACAGGATCTGAAATTAGAAAATAGTAATTTTGATTTTAAGAGGCAACAAGGAATAGAATTGTTTTCTCCAGACAGAAGAGAAGGGAACTTTGTCAGGAAAAACTTGTCAGGTTCACATAGAAAACATGTTTATAGCATTTTGCTCAAATGATATATACACTTTGCGTCACATTGTAATAGTTGATTGTACTATGTAATGATTGGAATAAACTTACCTCAAAATAAGATAAAACTACAGACACTAAGAAAAAAGAAAAAATCTGAAGTGCCACACCTGTAATTACTCTTAGATAACAACTTTTATATAAAATCTGGCTGTTCTAAACCTGCAAGGGAAAGTTAACCTAATACAAAAACAACTGTATATGTTTTCATCATCTGAATGAATTACTGCCCCTGTTATATACGAGTCTAAGTGAATAGAAACAATCACAAAATGCTTCCATTAAAGACAGATTTTGCATTAAGCTGAGTTCAGGCTGATCTTGGAATGTTGTAATACACCGATCCTTGGAACTGGGATTAGAATCACATTATAAAATAATGAAACTAAGATAGTGGCACGAAACAGAAATTTTTACAATGCACAATAATGCATAATAATAAACAGTAGGTAAGCAATTTGATTGGTTGAAAGTATTTAGCCTTGGTTTAAATAATGACATGCCTTGATTTTTAGTTTATTAGACAATAAATCTAAAAAAGTGGACTTAACACCTTGTTGAGGTATCAGATAACCAAAAAGAATAGATTAATCCTGGAAAGGAAAAAATATTTCACACTAGATCTACTTAAAGGAATATTCCTTGACAAACCATCTCTCTCCTCATATGGTAGCTATAACCATATATACGCTTGCCATGTTTAGCAAAACACGCAAAAATGTTTTGATATGGTCAAATTTGATCACTTAGAAATGTGATGCTCAATTCCAGTAAGCTGCCATCTTTTAAAATTTCACACAGGAAGTGATGTCATCGACTCTCAACTTTGCATATAGCATTAGGTGAGGAGCTATTAAGAATTACAAAACCAGCTAAATATTCTTTTTCAACTTTGTATCTTATTTAATCCTTCTGAAAATCTCTTCTTTTATTCTAAGTTGACAAGCCCTGAAAATATTTTTGCACAGAAAGTAATGATCACTTGTCTAGAAGTGATTTTGTGCTACTTTCCTATACTGTTATGGGCAAGGTTATAGAAGTTGAGAGTTGATGACATCACTTCCTGCAAGAAATCTTAAAAGATGGCAGCTCACTGGAAATAAGCACTAGACTTTTAAATGATCAATATTGACCATATTAAAACATTTTCCCATGTTTTGCTAAGTATGGAAACTATATATATGATTATAGCTACCATATCAAGAGAGAAAGGGTCTGGCAAGGAATATTCCTTTAAGAAAATTAGATCTTGAATATCATTTCATTTTACTTTATGAAGTAATCAAAATGTTCTATGATGTGACAGCTATCTGAACTGTATCAGTTAGATTTCTTACTTTCTAATTGATAAATATATCACTCCTGTAGCAAGTCTGATTAAATAAAAAAAATGTCCGGGCCCCTAAAATCAAAAAGTGGACCCAAATTATGACATTTAAGGCCCATTTTCTTCATAATTGGGCCTACTATTTCATAATCCAGGCCCCTTAAACCAAAAAGTGGACCCAAATTATGAAATTTAAGGCCTATTTTCTACATATGTATGTATATGTTTCATGTGTGTTTGATTTGATTCCTTTATCAACTTGTCACACTATGCAATAACTTGTGTTGAAAGGGCAAATATATTAAAAAACATATAAATGCTCAAAATCGAAATTGTTGACATGAAAAATCTTTCTTGGAACTTATTAATTACGATTGTAATCAGAATTACATTCCATCCTCCCTGAGAAGGGTCTAAGATCCAGAATACCTTATTATGTAAACAAGGAATTGTGTACAACTGCTTGGAATGAATATGTAAACCTGTTTGGATTGAATACATACAGATTTTAACCATTTTTAGTAGATAATTATTATATACAAACTAAACTGACATACAATTAGTACAGATATTTAAGTATTACTTGACAGTCTAACATATCAAGGAAACAGCTCAGTGATTCAGTCATTTTTATGTTTTTTTTCTATGTCTGTTGACAGCTGATAAGTGTCTAAATGATTTGAGGACACATTTCACATTGGTATGGTTTCTCTCCCGTATGAATCCTCATGTGTTCTTTGATATAAACCTTCTGAGAAAATCTCTTTTCACATATATCACATTGAAAAGGTTTTTACCAGTGTGAATCATTTCATGTCTTTTACAATTCAGTAAGTCTCTCTCTTCAGTATGAATCCCCATATGTTTTTTGCAGTAGGTTTGATGATTAAATGCCTTCTTACAGATGTCACAGGTGTATACCCTCATGTCATATTTTAACTGTTTTGTGTACTGTAATTGCTGACTATCTATCTGTTTGTCTAATAATGGGATCTTGTTGACACATAAAGTGATAATAATAAAAATAATAATATTAGTCTTTTAATACATATCAATGGTGTAAATAAAATACTTAGGCAATGGATTTCCTCTCAGTTTCAACCTACAGGTTATGTATCAACAGTATATTATAAAATATTTAGAAAATGGATTTATTTGGATATGTATTGGATGGTTTAAGATATATATCATCCTTAACATGGTAAAATGCCTAACATGAAGCATAAGAAAGAACAAGGCACAGGACTAACAGGACTAAATGGCCACCAGAAAACAAGATGGCCGCCCAAAAGTTAATCAGCTCTAGTACTTGATATCCTCTATCATTTGTGTAAATTTGAAGGAAATCCGATGAACGGTTTTCCTGAAATGGCGATGACAAGATTTTTCGAAAAACCTTCAAAATGGCCACCAGAAAACAAGATGGCCGCCCAAAAGTTAATCAGCTCTAGTACTTGATATCCTCTATCATTTGTGTAAATTTGAAAGAAATCCGATGAGCGGTTTTCCTGAAATGGCGATGACAAGATTTTTCGAAAAACCTTCTAAATGGCCACCAGAAAACAAGATGGCCGCCCAAAAGTTAATCAGCTCTAGTACGTCATATGCTCTATCATCTCTGCGAATTTGGAGAAAATCTGATGAGCAGTTTTCCTTAAACGGCGATGACAAAAAGCGGGACGATCACCACCACGATCACGACCACGACCACGACCAGTATGACGACTATATCCCACCGATGGTGTGATAAAAAGAGATTACATTATTGTATATTTTTTTTGTGCAATTGTTCAAATTTATCCTCTATCATGCTAGGATTTTACTTTAATTTTTAAAATTAATTTTGATATTTGCTTTTCAGAAACTGGTGAGCTGATCACTGATGCTAATAAAATATAAAATATTACCATTAATAAACATAACAGCCCTGTAGCCAGCTTTTGCAAGAATGAATTCACTTTTCAAAATAATTCCAGAGGGGTTATATGGGCATTTGACAACTTTGGCCCGAAACAATTGTGAAGTGCTCAGAAACATAAAAACTGCATGATTTTGAAAGATGAAAGACTTTTTGAATTTTAACATCATTAACTAATCACTATCGCATGTTCAAAGAGCATGTATTTTAATATCATCAACTAGTCACTTTGACATGTTCAAAATGCATGAATTTTAACAATATCAATTTATCACTTTCTCACATTCAAAGGGCATAAATTTTAACATCAGCAACCAATCACTTTGACATGTTCCAAGGGCATGTATTTTAACATCATCAACTAATCACTTTGACATGGTCAAATGGCATGAATTTTAAAATGGTCATCATTTTCAAAGACCATGAATGAATTAACATCATCAACTCATCACTTTGACATGTTCAGAAGGCATTCATTTCAACACAATCAATTAGTCACTTTGACATGCTCAAATGGCATTTATTTTAACATCATTAACGAATCACTTTGACATGTTCAAAAGGCATGAGTTTTAACATCATCAACTAAACACTTTGACATGTTCAAAAAGAATGAATTTTAACATTATCAAATAGCCACTTTGAAATGTTAAAATGACTTGAATATAACATCATCAACTAATCACTTTCAAATGTTCAAATGGCATGCACTTTAACATTTACAACTTATCACTTTGCCATGTTCAAAGAGCATGTATTTTAACATCAGTAACTAGTCACTTTGACATGTTCAAATGGCATGAGTTTTAACATCATCAACTAGTCACTTTGACATGTTCAAAAAGAATGAACTTTAACATTATCAAATAGCCACTTTGAAATGTTATAATGACTTGAATATAACATCATCAACTTGTCACTCTGATATGTTCAAAAGGACATGAATTTTAATACCATAGACTAAACATTTTGTCATGTTCAAAAGGCATGAATATAACATCATCAATTTATCACTTTGACATCCTCAAAAGGCATGAATTTAACATCATCAACAAATCACTTTGTTATGTTCAAAGTGCATAAATAATCAACTTATCACTTTAACATGTTCAAAGGGAATAAATCTTAACATCATCAACTAATCACTTTGACACATTCAAATGTCATAAATTTTAACATCATCAACTAATCACTTTGATATGTTCAAAGGGTATGAATTTTAGCACCATCAACAAGACATAAATAAGCTTTTATACAGCTGGCTATGTAATTTTAGGTCATATAGATAGATCATGGGGAAGTGTTGTATATTAGTATATATTGTCTGTTGTCTTGTTATTTATAACATCTTCTATTAACATGATTAAAATCCATAATTTATCTCTAGGTAATAACTTATGTCTTTTAAGATAAAATATCTGAGTAAATCTTTTCTCAAATATATAACACTGAAAAGGCTTTTCACCAATGTCGATCTTATTATGTCGTTTTCACTTACTTTGAAAATTTGTTCTTGCATATATCACACTAAAAACGTTTTTCATCAGTGTGGATGATTTTATGTTGTTTTAATTTACTGAGATATCTAAATTCTTTTAAACATATTTCACATCTTTAAGGTTTCTCCCGAGTGTGGATCAGCTTGTGTTGTTTCAGATGAACCTTCCGAGAACATTTTTTACCACATATATCACACTGGAAATGTTTTTCACCAGTGTGAATCATGTTATGTTTTTTTAATGTACGGAGTTCTCTAAATTCTTTTAAACATATTTCACATTTATGAGGTTTTTCACCAGTGTGAATCATTTTATGTTTTTTTAATGTACGGAGATATCTAAATTCTTTCACACATATTTCACATTTAAAGGGTTTCTCCCCAGTGTGGATCAGCTTGTGTTGTTTCAGATAAACCTTCCGAGAATATTTTTTACCACATATATCACACTGAAAAGGTTTTTCACCAGTGTGAATCATTTCATGTTGTTTTAATGTACTGAGTTCTCTAAATTCTTTTAAACATATTTCACATTTATAAGGTTTCTCTCCAGTATGTGTCCTCATGTGTGTTTTGAGATGAAACTTCCGAGAAAATTTTTTCTCACAAATCCCACACTGAAAAGGTTTCTCACCAGTGTGGATCATTTTATGTTGTTTTAAATTACTAAGATGTCTAAATTCTGTTAAACATATTTCACATTTATAAGGCTTCACTCCAGTATGAGTCCTTATATGGTTTTTGTTATGGTCCCCCTTATTCATATATTTGTAGCACACTTTTCTTGATAATTGTTCTGGCATGAGCTCGCACAAATCTGGAAATAAACAAATAGTAGTAATTGGTTATATGATAAATGTTGACAGCTATAAAGTAAATCTAACTATGACCTTACTTTTAAGAAGACAAGCGACAGAACTTTCTTTAAGCATTATAGTTTATTCTACAATCTAGGATACATAATTATTTACATCATCAAGTGATCTCTTCGTCATGTAAAATGATATGTACTTTGACATCATCAACTTAACTCTTTGACATGTTCAAAAGGCATGAACTTAAAAATTATAAACTAATCACTTTGAAATTTATGTTCAATAAAAAACATGGGTTTGAACATCATCAACTTTGACATGAGTTTAACAGCATTAACTAATCACTTTGACATGTTCAAAGGGCATGAATTTTAACATCATCAACTGATAACTTTGACACGTTCAATGGGCATGAATTTTTCCACTAATCACTCTGACATGTTCAAAAGCAATAAATTGTAAAGCATCAACTAATCACTTTGTCATTGTTCAAATCCCATGAGTTTTACAGTATTAACTAATCACTTTAAACATGTTCAAATGGCATGAATTTTTGACATCAAGAACTGGTCATTCACACATTCAAGGGGCGAGCATTTTAACATCATCAAATAATCACTTTGACATATTCAAAAGGCATGAATTTCAACATTATCATCTTATTACTTTCACACATTCAAAGGGCAAGAATTTTTACATCATCAACTAATCACTTTGACATGTTCAAAGGGCATGACTTTCAGCACCATCAATTTAACACTTTGACATGTTCAATGAGGATGAAATTTAACATCATCAACCAATCACTTTGACATGTTCAAAGGGCATGAATTTTAACATCATCAACTAATCACTTTCACATGTTCAAAGGGCATGAATTTTAACATCATTAACCAATCACTTTGACATGTTAAAAGGGCATGAATTTTAACATCATCAACCAATCACTTTGATATGTTCAATGGGCATGAATTTTAGAATCATGAACTAATCACTTTGTCATTGTTCAAATGGCATGAATTTTAACATCATCGACTTATCATTTAACTAGTTCAAAGGGCATGACTTTTAGCACCATCAATTTAACACTTTGACATGTTCAATGAGCATGAAATTTAACATCATCAACCAATCAGTTTGATATGTTCAAAGGGCATGAATTTTAACATCATCAACTTATCACTTCCACACATTCAAAGGGCATGAATTTTTCCACAAATCACTCTGACATGTTCAAAAGCAATAAATTGTAAAGCATCAACTAATCACTTTGTCATTGTTCAAATGCCATGAGTTTTACAGTATCAACTAATCACTTTCACATGTTCAAATGGCATGAATTTCAACATCATTAACTAATTTACTTCCACACATTCAAAGGGCATGCATTTTATTATCATGAATTAATCACTCACACATTCAAAGGGCACGTTCCTAGAGCTTGAATTTTAACATCATCAACTAATCACTTTCACACGTTCAATGGGCATGAATTTCTACACCATCAACTTATTACTTTGACATGTTCAAAGGGCATGAATGGTAGCACCATCAACTAATCACTTTGCAACATTCAAAGGGCATGAATTTTTACATCATCAACTAATCACTTTAACATGTTCAAATGGCATGACTTTTAGCACCATCAACTAATCCCTTTGACATGTTCAATGGGCATGAATTTTAGAATCATCAACTGATCATTTTGTCATTGTTCAAATGCCATGAGTTTTACAGCATCAACTACTAGCATCACTTCAACATGTTCAATGGGCATGAATTTCAATTTGTTAACTGATCACTTTGACATGTTCAAAAGGCATTTATTTTAACATCAGCAATTAATCTGTTTCGTTCAAATTGCATGACTTTTAACAACATCAACTTATCATTTTGACAAGTTCAATGGGCATGAATTTTAACATCATTAACTTATCACTTCCACACATTCAAAGGGCATGAATTTTTCAACTAATCACTTTCACATGTTCAAAGGGCATGAATTTTAACATCATCAACCAATCACTTTGACATGTTCATTGGGCATGAATTTCAACATCAACTAATCACTTTTTCAATGGGCATGAATTTCAATATAATTAACTTATAACTGATAACTTTGACATGTTCAAACAGCCTTAATTTCAACATCTGCAACTAATCTCTTTCACAAGTTCAAAGGGCATGAATTTTAGCACCATCAACTAATCACTTTGACATGTTCAATGGGCATGAATTTTAACATCATCAACTAATCACTTTGACATGTCCAATGGGCATGAATTTTAACATCATCAACTAATCACTTTGACATGTTCAATGGGCATGAATTTTAACATCATCAACTAATCACTTTGACATGTTCAAACAGCCTTAATTTCAACATCTGCAACTAATCTCTTTCACAAGTTCAAAGGGCATGAATTTTAGCACCATCAACTAATCACTTTGACATGTTCAATGGGCATGAATTTTAGCACCATCAACTAATCACTTTGACATGTTCAATGGGCATGAATTTTAACATCATCAACTAATCACTTTGACATGTTCAATGGCTTGAATTAAAGTGTAACATGGCAATAGAAGACCAGTGGGTGGTGAATAATAATAATAATATAGAAAGTAATGTTTAATTTAATAAAATTGTATATCACACAACCCACCAAACAAACATAGAAACAAATAACATGAACAACATAGAAACAAATAACACATATGGCATACAAAACTGCTTTAAACAATAGAAGTAAAAGTGATCAGTAAAAGAAAGACCTGAAACTATTGGAATTAATTATTTGACAAATTGATGTAAAGACATAAAGGGACCTGTTAACATGAAAATGATATAAATGGGAATTGGTCATTATAAAATGAATGAAATAGGAAAAATCATTCCATAATACTACTGTTTTCCCAGGGAAATATGAAGGAATAAAAATGGTATTGAATCGTATTACATGGAAAAATCGTACTGTCCCCAAGAAATCGTATTGGAGCGTATTACATGAAAAAAATCGTATTGGAAAGTATTAACCTATTTTGGGTTTCCTGCTTATTTTTAACCTTGACTAATTGATAAAATGAATATGGGTTTTATCCCTCGCAAAATATTATATAGACATTGGACAATATGATATTTGCCAAGGGAGTGCAAACAATGCATTTATTAATATAATGTTTTATCCAAATGTAACATTTTAGAGGGATGTATTATGGAATAAATAGGTTATTTCTGGTCGGGATTGAATATGGCTTTTATTCCTCAGAAAATATGATATTGACCTAAGGCTATAGGACACTCGGTCACTGAATGACTATATTACAACATTATCAACTAATCACTTTAACATGTTCATACAACATGCATTTTAATATCACCAACCACTCAAGGCATGACAGAAGGGCATAAACATGATGAATAAGCTTTCATACAGCTTGAAAGTATTGCATTTCAGTATGTTATATTGTGTGCTGTTATTTATGTCATCTTTTTATTTTTAGATTTTAGATTCATACTTTATCTCTTAATGTATCAACAGGTGTCTTTCAAGATTAAACTTCCGAGAAAATCTTTTGTCACATATACTACACTGAAAGGGTCTTTCACCAGTATGAATCATTGTATGTCTATTAAAATCAGACGATCCTTTAAATTCTTTCAAGCACAATTCACATTTATAAGGCTTCTCTCCAGTATGTGTCCTCATGTGGCATTTGTAGTGAACGCTCTGATTCATGGATTTGTAGCATATTCCACATGTGAACTTAGCTTTGGAATTGGATTTTCGTGATACTTGTTCTGGCATAAGCTCACACTGATCTAAAAATAAACAAATATTAAATCAGTTAGTGGTAAGTTATATGATATACATGTATATGGAAAAATACATTGATGTGTTTGTTAACATACCTTCATGGAGTTCCTCCTTAATGATTACTGGATGTTTCAATTGAAATTCCTGAATAGTTCTTCAACCTGTATCACTTTCAGACATTTCAAGCTTTAACATTTTCCGATACCAAAATCACAAAAGGCATATGGAAAAGGGAATAGATAAGTCAAATCAGACTTACATAATCACTGTGGTACAAATGTGAAGACATGGTGTAGTTATGCTGGGTTATAATCACTGTGGTACAAATGTGAAGACATGGTGTAGTTATACTGAGTTATAATCACTGTGGTACAAATGTGAAGAGATGGTGTAGTTATGCTGGGTTATAATCACTGTGGTACAAATGTGAAGACATGGTGTAGTTATACTGGGTTATAATCACTGTGGTATAAATGTGAAGACATGGTGTAGTTATGCTGGGTTATAATCACTGTGGTATAAATGTGAAGACATGGTGTAGTTATACTGGGTTTTAATCACTGTGGTACAAATGTGAAGAGATGGTGTAGTTATACTGAGTTATAATCACTGTGGAATAAATGTGAAGACATGGTGTAGTTATGCTGGGTTATAATCACTGTGGAATAAATGTGAAGACATGGTGTAGTTATGCTGGGTTATAATCACTGTGGTATAAATGTGAAGACATGGTGTAGTTATGCTGGGTTATAATCACTGTGGTATAAATGTGAAGACATGGTGTAGTTATGCTGGGTTTTAATCACTGTGGTACAAATGTGAAGACATGGTGTAGTTATGCTGGGTTATAATCACTGTGGTACAAATGTGAAGACATGGTGTAGTTATGCTGGGTTATAATCACTGTGGTATAAATGTGAAGACATGGTGTAGTTATACTGGGTTTTAATCACTGTGGTACAAATGTGAAGAGATGGTGTAGTTATACTGAGTTATAATCACTGTGGTATAAATGTGAAGACATGGTGTAGTTATGCTGGGTTATAATCACTGTGGTATAAATGTGAAGACATGGTGTAGTTATACTGAGTTATAATCACTGTGGTACAAATGTGAAGACATGGTGTAGTTATACTGGGTTATAATCACTGGTACACATGTGAAGACATGGTGTAGTTATGCTGGGTTATAATCACTGGTACAAATGTGAAGACATGGTGTAGTTATGCTGGGTTATAATCACTGTGGTATAAATGTGAAGACATGGTGTAGTTATGCTGGGTTATAATCACTGTGGTACAAATGTGAAGACATGGTGTAGTTATGCTGGGTTATAATCACTGTGGTATAAATGTGAAGACATGGTGTAGTTATACTGGGTTATAATCACTGTTGTACAAATGTGAAGTCATGGTGTAGTTATACTGGGTTATAATCACTGTGGTACAAATGTGAAGTCATGGTGTAGTTATACTGAGTTATAATCACTGTGGTACAAATGTGAAGACATGGTGTAGTTATGCTGGGTTATAATCACTGTGGTATAAATGTGAAGACATGGTGTAGTTATGCTGGGTTATAATCACTGTTATACAAATGTGAAGACATGGTGTAGTTATGCTGGGTTTTAATCACTGTGGTACAAATGTGAAGAGATGGTGTAGTTATGCTGGGTTATAATCACTGTGGTACAAATGTGAAGAGATGGTGTAGTTATGCTGGGTTATAATCACTGTGGTATAAATGTGAAGACATGGTGTAGTTATGCTGGGTTATAATCACTGTGGTATAAATGTGAAGACATGGTGTAGTTATGCTGGGTTATAATCACTGTGGTACAAATGTGAAGACATGGTGTAGTTATACTGGGTTATAATCACTGTGGTATAAATGTGAAGACATGGTGTAGTTATGCTGGGTTATAATCACTGTGGTACAAATGTGAAGACATGTTGTAGTTATACTGAGTTATAATCACTGTGGTACAAATGTGAAGACATGGTGTAGTTATGCTGGGTTATAATCACTGTGGTATAAATGTGAAGACATGGTGTAGTTATGCTGGGTTATAATCACTGGTACAAATGTGAAGACATGGTGTAGTTATACTGGGTTATAATCACTGTGGTACAAATGTGAAGACATGGTGTAGTTATGCTGGGTTATAATCACTGTTATACAAATGTGAAGACATGGTGTAGTTATACTGGGTTATAATCACTGTGGTACAAATGTGAAGAGATGGTGTAGTTATGCTGGGTTATAATCACTGTGGTACAAATGTGAAGACATGGTGTAGTTATACTGGGTTATAATCACTGTGGTACAAATGTGAAGAGAAGGTGTAGTTATACTGGGTTATAATCACTGTGGTACAAATGTGAAGAGATGGTGTAGTTATGCTGGGTTATAATCACTGTGGTATAAATGTGAAGACATGGTGTAGTTATACTGGGTTATAATCACTGGTACACATGTGAAGACATGGTGTAGTTATGCTGGGTTATAATCACTGTTATACAAATGTGAAGACATGGTGTAGTTATGCTGGGTTATAATCACTGTGGTATAAATGTGAAGACATGGTGTAGTTATGCTGGGTTATAATCACTGTGGTATAAATGTGAAGACATGGTGTAGTTATGCTGGGTTATAATCACTGTTATACAAATGTGAAGACATGGTGTAGTTATGCTGGGTTATAATCACTGTGGTATAAATGTGAAGACATGGTGTAGTTATGCTGGGTTATAATCACTGTGGTACAAATGTGAAGACATGGTGTAGTTATACTGGGTTATAATCACTGTTATACAAATGTGAAGACATGGTGTAGTTATGCTGGGTTATAATCACTGTGGTATAAATGTGAAGACATGGTGTAGTTATGCTGGGTTATAATCACTGTGGTATAAATGTGAAGACATGGTGTAGTTATACTGGGTTATAATCACTGTGGTACAAATGTGAAGACATGGTGTAGTTATACTGGGTTACAACTATTTTCATAGTGAGAATAACCACAAAATGAACAGTATAATCATGCTCTTACTGACTAACAATTAAAAAATAAACAATGCTATGTATTCAAACAATGGAATTAATAGAATTTATTGAACTGTATACAAATTACAAACATCACATTCAAACTTACTTCATCATAATATTTGGAACATAAAATTAATCAAGATGTTTGAAATTGTTTAATGTCATGACTGTTTACTTCTGTGATCCAAGTACTACACCTTATGACTTAACCAACATTTAAATGTTATTTCTCCAGTATGGATCCTCATATGATGATCATAATGGGCCCTGTTAACCATGTATTTTGTGCATATTCTATATGGTTATCTTGTTATATTCATATGTTTCTTCTTAATATGTTTCTTCAGATCTGCATTTTGTCGATACGATTTCAAACACAAATTACATTTAAATGGTTTTTCTCCAGTATGGCTCCTCATGTGATATTCATAATGTGTCTTGTCATTCAACAATTTCTTACAAATATGACAAGAATATTCAAATCTGGGTTTTCTCAGGTTTCTTCCCTCAGTTACTTGTATAGTGTATCCATAATCTGTAAATACAAAAGAAATTAACTCAGCAGGTGTTTCAAACAAAAGTACAAAATAGGTTATAGAGAGGGGCAATAATACACAAAGCATTAACATGCAAAATGTCACCACCTGCCATTAGTTACAGATGCTGAATACCATCTGCAAAAAGTTGTTGTCACTACTTGTAATGGTGACATAAAAACAGAGACATGCGTAACATAAAAAGCATGTGCAATGTGACCAGAAAAGGAAGACCATTGAATTAGGCAATATCTACTAAAATAGTTACATCAATGGCATTTAGCACACTCCAGAACGGTTTTAGGAAAATTCATATGGTTATCAAAAATACATTTAGTAGGTCACTATCTTTAAAGTTATGAAAACAGTACAATAGAGTATGAAACCAAAGATTCATACATGTTTCATTAACCTGACAAATTGTTGTCACCTGGTTTAGTTATTGCAAATGGTTAGAAAAATGTAACATTTTGTTACAGACAACAATCACTAACTTCCAAAAACCAATGCAAGTATGCAATATGTCACACATTTTGGTGTTGAAATAATAATTTAATAACTAATTCATTCCAATATTACAACTAACTGGTCATGGAATCATTTTTTGTGTTTTTGCTTCTTTTTTCTTTACAGTTAATGACATTAGCCATGTGACTGAATTTAACTCTCTTAAACACAATTCACAATTGAATGGGTTTCCTTTTGATTGGCAGTTATATGATTTTATTACCTTTCCTTTCATTACTCTTTTAATTTTTTTTCCTTGTTTGTGTCCATGAACTTCTCTCTGATGTCTATTCAAATCAGATATTTGTCTGAAGTCTTTCAGACAAAGTTTACATTGAAATGGTCTTTCTCCAGTATGCATCCTCATGTGATAACCTCTGTTAACTATAGATTTTTTGCAGATTGGACATTCATATTTGACTTTGGATTTTTGAGGTTTCATTGAGTTGATGTGGTGCCTGTGATCTAAAAATATACAAATATAATATTTTTTAGTAAAATATGGTAGGTGTGTGTATATTTTTCAGCATCAACTTCTATATGGTGAAAGTAATAATAAAGGTGCTCACAACACTACTTGGGTCAATTTTCTTGGTTCCATATTTTATGTATACAAGGAATTCAACAAGTTAATTTTGCTATAAAACTAATATTTATTAGACTAATAATAAACTAATAAAACTCTTTTTAATAAAACTTCAACAGTATCACCTTCAAATATTTGTAAATAAAAAACTGAAACTTTGTATGTGTATCTCATCGAGCTAGTTGTAACAGGCCTCTTAGAATTCCAACAACGCGAACATCAGTTCTGAGCTTGCGAACTACGTTCCTTGCGCTCGAACCACGATTCTCACGTTGCAAACGTGATATCTTTAGTTGCGCGCCACCATTTCCTCACTCCCGAACATATTTCTTCACTGGAGAACAGAGATCCACGCTCGCAAACAATTTGTACAAAGTGTGTCCGTGTATTTGGGATTCCAATTGCAAGCAACAACACTAGGAGTCGGGTTGCAGTTTACATTGACCCTTATATGTACATGTACATGTGTATTTCAATAGTCATAAACTCTCAGCAGCCAATAAAAAGCCATGTTTTTGTTTTTATTACCCAGCCCTTTCACTGAAAATGTCAATGCTTGGGATCACAAAGTATTGACTGTTACTACTGTAGTAGTAACAGTCGCAAAGATGCTGTAATTTTCAATAAGTTAGGGTATTCATTAACATGCACAAAAACTGGGAAAGTATTTTTTCAGAATTCCAAATAAAAACACCCCGTTGGAATTTTAGTTATGTTTAATATGAATAAAATTACAGACTTTTTTTGATCAGGTGTGTGGTTTGCAAGCATTGATCTCTGTGCCGGGTGGAGAAATATCTTAGGGACCGAGGAAATGGTGGTGTGTGGCTAGGATTTCACATTCGCGACGTGAGAATCGTGGTTCGTGTGCAAGGAACATAGTTCGCGAGCTCAGAACTGATGTTCGCGTTGTTGGAAGTCTAGGAGGCCTGTGTAAGAACTTCTCATTCATACTTTGTTTGATCACGCATATGTACAATTTTAACCAATTAACTCATCAGGAGGTTTTCATTTACAATAATATAATAAAATGTGTCCTATATACAAAAATAGTCTCTTATATACAAGTCCAATCTTCAGTGTATTGTCCTAAATGTCCTTTATACGCCAGTATCATCTTCATATGCCTTATTGAAAAAGGCTTTGAAGCAGTTTTGTTGATTATTGTAGTCTAAAAGTCCTTGAAACACACAGAAATAGATAACTTTTGATTTGTGAATGGGTAGTGCAATTTGATGAAAGTCCATTGTTAGTGTATTATCTTATTGTATAAAAATGTTAAGTGTTAGTGAGTGAGTCTATGTATATCTCTCTGATGCCTATTCAAATTGCTGACATTTCTGAACCCTTTCAAACACAGTTGACATTTATATGGTTTTTCTCCAGTATGGGTCCTCATGTGATAACTGTAATGGCCCTTGTTAACCATGGGTTTCTTGCAGATTGGACACACATATCTGGCTTTCAATTTTTCAGGTTTCTTTGATTTGATGTTACTGTGATCTAAAAATATAAAGAAAATATTTCTTTGTAATATGGTGCATGCTTATTTGGAGGCGAAATAATAACCTGAATATTATACAGGGGGCCGTTCTTGGTACAATCGTAACTTACGACCGTCGTAACTTACGACTCGTCGTAAGTTTAAATATTTACGACCGAGTTACGACAGGTCGTAAGTTACGACCGCGATGTTTTTGGAAGCCGTCGTATCTTCGTCGTAAATAACCATACTTACGACCGGTCGTAAGTAGTTAAGTTATATCACATGATGATCATGCGATTCTTTTACGCCTAAAAGTGCGCTATTACGAAATTTAGAATCAACGCGTCATTTGGGATTTTCAGAATATTTCCATACAGTATCAATCATTTTTATATTTACTTTTAATAAACATACTTAATAAGTACTTAACAGTGTTCGAAATTTATTCTAGCAATAATAATATTCAATACATAAAGGCTACAGTAACAAAACGGCATGCCACGTAACGTTAACGAACAAATCATCAAATTAATAGGTACACCGTATGGTTTTTGTCACCACTTGTTGGCGGCAATTGGCGGTCGGCGTCTGGAGTTTGTCGTCTGTAACAAATTGCAGGTGGTGATATTTTGTGTGGTAATTGCCTTGTTGATGTTTTTTAACTGATATGTTTCTAAGCTATGGGATGTTTTGAAAAAGGCGCAATGTCACCAGCGTGCAAAAACTTTTAGCCAAGTAGTGGAAGTCTGAACGACCTGTAATAAATCCATAGATCATCACAAAATGAAAGTCGTTTCTGTTTTTTAAATGACTAATAACAAAGTGTTACGTAATGAAAAAGAATAATCAAAATATGTCATCGAGTGGAGGGGGGTATACTTTGTAAGACATACTGTATGTAATTGAATTGCCGGGAACGAGAAGAAGGAGAATGGGTTCTTTTCCCTCCAAAGGTTTGGCAACCTTAGGTCCCTCATTGAACTGTTTGAGTTTTCATTAACTGTACTTGCAATGAAAAAGGTAGAAGTAAATTGAATTAAATTCCTATTCCTCAATTACAATAGGTCGAAAATTGATTCATTTGATGAATTTTTGAAAATCGTTATTCCCATGTAGACTAACGCAAAATGGGTTCGGGGCAAATCAGTATTCAGAATACTGTATATATTAAGTGGTAAGTGGTATTTAATCCGAGTGGTTAATTTTCCGAATGGTCAAATTTCATCATTTTCATCATTTTCCTAATTTTAATTTTCCTGATTACAAGAAACCTCCCATTGGATAACATTATAAAGACAATATTTCCGACATTTAATTTTCCGAACCTGGCAAAAATTAGGAAATAGGCAAATTAAATGATTAGGCAAAATTACCACTTATACAGTATCTATTGTTGGATTGTCTAGTTTACTTTATGTACATTAGTTTACAGAGCTTCAGGGTTATTTTTGAAAATCATTTTTCGCCTCCTGGGTTATATCAATGTGGGAGGTTCCTTGTGGCAAACCCACCATTTCCTATTTTACTGTATACGGGAATGTCGATCTTCAAAAATTCATCGGATATGTCATTTCCGACCTATTGTAGTCTTTGAAAAATTGAGAAAAATTAGAGGCATTTAAAATTCAAATACAAATTAAAACGCATGGTTGAGGTGGAACTCCATTATTAACTGCTAAATCAAGCTGCTAAATCATTTGACGATAATTGACCCGGTTCTCTGTGATTGTTCTGTCGTCTTCATCATCGAAATTCTTTCTCTAGGGCTATTTGAAGGAGTATTTTAGGCTAATCCCAAGCCAAAAAGCCCAAATTTTGAAGATTAATGCACAAATTAAAAAAACGACCCCCTTGCTATGGACCTGTAAAGGATGTCACACTTAGTCAAAAAGTGACTGGATATTAGCATAGTAAATGATCTTGAGATGTTTATACTTCAATCCTTTCAGAGCTTTCATTGGATGAGAGCTGTCTGGATCTTAGCTTGTATACGCGAATGCAAGTAGCGACTGTCGGCTTCCTTATTAAGCTACTTTTTATGGCACACTCATTTAAATATGAATGGAATAGTGCCAGGTTATATGTAAACGTTTTGGTCATAAAAAAGTAGGTTAATCCGTCAGCCGTCAGCCAGTAATTAAATTCGCAAATACAAGGTTAGGGACTATGATTTTTATGAGGGTCAGTTCTTGTAATCACATGACCAAATTAAAACAATCGGAAGATAATTATTTGCATTATTGTTCAACTCTGCTTTTTCTGGCTTAAATTCAAGTTTCCAAATGTCAGACCAAGTTCTACTTTTTTAATATAATTTTGAAGTTGAATATGAGATTAACAACATTCAAGATGGGTAATAAAAAAATCATAGCATCTCTGGGTGGTATTTTGTAAGCGGAAAATGTACCTTTACTGAGAAAATTGGAGTTTAGAATAGCTGCATTCCATCAATCTGCCCAACGCATTACGACACTCGGTGTTGCTTTAAATAAAGCTAAACGCAAGCACAGCACAGCCAAAGGCATAGGGTACTGGACTGTTCACTGTGAATGCGCAATTTGAATCTAATTTTCGACTCATAAACACATTCTATCATCACATCATTCTCACAACACATACTTGGAGTTTCAATCAAGATTATAAGATATTCAGAAACTCGTTGAAAATCTTTTCAAATGTATGGTTTCGTTGAATTACATGTACAGGTTTTACAGGTAAAATCAAAATTTTGCTACTGTTTAAGTTTAATCTGGACAACTGCTTACATGTGTTTTTTTATCAACAAAACAACAATGGATACAGAGTTATCTGTAAAAAACAATAAAATAGCACTGAAATAAATTTCTCAGTTTTGTCCTTCGATGTGGAAGGCACTGCCGGATGTCCTTTCATTTTTTGCGCTGAACTGCGTAGCACAGTTACGCGGCTGTGCCATCGTTTTGATTCTCCACCTTGATATTTACCTTTTAACACGCTTAAATACGTGATCCGGAAAGGACCTTCCGGTTGCTAAATGGAGGGATATACAAAGTTTGCATTTTGATTGCAAGCGAAGCAGTTGTAGAACTGATTCCTTTTGAGAATCATATGCTCTCTCTATGCTCTGAATGCAGTTAAAATTGCTCTCTCCCACTCTTTTCAATGATACTTCTCTTAACTTTTCTGGTTGAGACACCAATGAAATTGTGTCGCTTGTCACGTGATCTTATGTATGTTTCTTTCAACTCATTGAATATGAAGGCTTTTTAACGTCTCTGCAGACATATTCACCTTATTAAAATCACGACATTCAAAACCGTTAGGATACTTTGGAGCAGACGGCGGGGCACGACATGTATACTCGATGTACAAGATATTCCAATCACACCAAATACAAAACTTAATTCAATAATTAGTGCCCAATCAAACAGCAAAATATCCTCAACTACACCAAATACAAAAATGAATAAAAAATTGATGTCCAAACTAATTAGCCACACAATGGCGAACAGTGAGCTAAGTTACGACCAAATCGTAAGTTAAGACACCCCTAACCCTGGTCGTAAGTTACGACCGATTTTTAGTGAAAGTCGTAACTTACGGAAATAGTGACGACGTTCGGAAGTTACGACGATGTACGAAAAACGCATTTTTTGCCAGTCGTAGTAAGAGAACAATGACTTACGACCGGTCGTAAGTTACGACCGTTTCCAAGAACGGTCCCCAGGGTAAGAAAAATTTGCCAATACTAAGTTTAATATAAAAACATGTACTTTTAAAGTGCACTTCATTAGGTATTCTTTGAGAATGGAAATATACATTGAACTTTGTATCCCTCTAAATGGTTAATCACTAGAAAAATGGACTGATCATAATAGGAAATATATTTCCTATTGAAGTCCTTGATAATTAGGCTAATGCTCAAAATTACCAATTAAACTGGCATGTTTAAGTCCCAAAGCCAGATCAAATCCAAGTAAATTCATAAACTAATTGCAAGGTATGGTAATGTTTTAAAAGGTAGAGGGTGTTTTGTTTTTTAAACATTCACAAAAAAGGTTGCACAATTTTATGTGAAAAAACCACACTTCTAAGATACGTGACAACCTGCAGGCCAGTAGCCAGGGGGGGTTCACAGGGTTCGGGCGAACCCCCCCCCCCCCCTGGCCAAAAATTCTTTCAAAATCATGCAGTTTTTGACCATTTTGAGCACTTCTCTAGAGATTTTAGCCTAATTTGGGCCAAAATTGTCAAATGTGAACCCCCCCTGGAATTTTTTGCAAATTGAACCCCCCCTTGGCAAATCCTGGCTACGGGCCTGACCTGTATGGTCTGAAAATCATCGTTGGCTTGTTGAAGTGTCTTATAAATAAATAAAATGTTCAAGGTTTCAAAATAACTTTAATTAAACTAAAATAACTAATGTATTTTGAACAGATCATACAACAAGTAAAGCTAATTTTGTTCCAAAAAGTTATTTATTAGACAATCATTTCCTTTGATATCCACAGATTATGTTCAACACGACATTTGTTAACTTTGGATCTATATAATTTCTCCAAATTACAACAGTCTCTTATTTCTTACAGTGTATACAATATTGTCTATTGTCCCTAATGCCCATCAAACACCTGTATGTATTAATGGGCAATGGTCTATATAATACTCTCTTTTCTCTTATATACAACTCCAATCTTCAGTCTTTTGTCTCTAACGTCCATTATATACCAGTATGTGTATTATGTGTATATAATATAAAAGTCTCTTTTTTCTTATACACAAGTCATGATCTTCATCTCTTGCATCTGCTATACACCAGTATGGATCTTCTTCATATGAGTTATTAGGTGATTCTTCTGGTGAAATCTTTTATCACATTCTCTACATTCAAATGGTTTCTCTCCAGTATGGATCATTAAGTGTTGTTTTAATGTGCACTTAGCTCTGAACCTCTTCAAACAAAGCTCACATTCAAATGGCTTCTCGCCAGTATGGGTCCTCAAGTGATAGTTAAAATTACCAACATTGTTCAGTGTCTTATTGCATGTTGGGCACACATATTTAGGATAAGGTTTTGAAGTAGTTTGGTTTACCATAGTGGGGTCTCGGAGTCCTGGAAATATATAGAGTTGCATTAATTTTGATTTAAGAATGGTAAAAGCAATTGGTGAGTCCATTGTCATCCTCCGATCACAGGGTTTCAAAATCCAGAACATATTCTTTCTTTTTACCCCCTGCGATAAGCAGTTACCATTTCCCCGATTAAGAACTCGCAATCTGATTGGCTGTCGCAACACTGCGACAGAAATCATGTATAAGTCATTGCGCATAATTAGATCACGTGATTAAGTTAAATCGGGCGCGTCCAAATTGGTTATAGCAGGGGGAAGAAGGAGGTACGGATTTTGGACCTGCTAAGGAGGATGGTCCATTGTATGCATATCATCTTACTGTGTAAGCAATGTTATGTGTTAGTGATAATTTTTTTATTTAGAAATATGTATCAATTTATTGACTATGGAATTTTAATATCATTAACTTTTTAATACACCAGATCATTTTTAACAACCTGAAAACTATATTTTCAGTAGTATTCTTCTGGAAAACATTTTTTGAATTATTTTTTTCAATTCTAGGTATGCTGTATGTTTGACATTACTTTTAATAATCCTAAATTACAATTCAACAAGAAATGGCAAACATTATGACCCTGAACAAAACAAGTAGATGCCTTAACAATATTATATCACCATATGTGACATAAAAACAATGTTTCCCGAGTGAATATTGTTTTATTACTTATTGGGAACATATTTACAATACAGGTACATGTATTTAGTACAAAGCATAATACAATTTACTACAGATTTAGTTCACTATGAATCTTTTAACTCAAAGATGATTGAATGAAACTAGATATGTTAGTGAAGTACTATTTATATCATATACATCGGCAGAGCTTCCAAAGAAGATAAATATCCACTGCTCCATGATGAAAGAATCACCCTCATTGCAGGCCTTCATACTACAATTTAGGAAACCTGTTTAACAGCTACAATTTGATTGATAAATTGCAATTTTTACTTTTTGGAAAAGACAATTTAGATGCATCAACAAATGAAAATTTAATTCATATTGTTAGTTATTATATATACATGAGTTTTAATATCATATCAAAACAGGTTTAGATTCTTCATTTTTCTGCTTTTTCCTTTTTGTCATCATCCCCGCCCATGGGAATCCCTTGATTCAGTGATTTGGAATTAAATATATAAGTAAACCTTTTGTATTTTATATTATATCTATTATATCACTTAATTATATATTAAATTGCCGCTAATGTTGTAAAACTTTGGCAATCAGCTAATTGTGTTTATCTATGTTATTATTAGAAATATAAATTGATAACATGAAAAAAGGCTAAATATCATTTAAAACAAGTTGAAAACTTTTGGTACCACTAAAAATTGTCAATTGGTCACAGGACTCCAAAAAAGTGTTCCACTCATCAGCCAAATGTACTGCAAACAAAAATGAGTTTTAATTTTTTAATTGTTTTATGTTTGGTGAAATGTGGATACATGCTTTGTCTTCATATGTGCTAAAAGTTTAGATTTTGCATGAAATCCCATCTGACAAATTCTGCAGTAGAATGGTTTGATGCCAGTATGTGTCATTTTATGTCGATTATAATCAGTCAATCCACGAAACTCTTTCAAACATAGTTCACATTGATATGGCTTCTCTCCGGTATGAATCCTCATATGGTAACTAAAATTGCTCTTGTTTTTGGATCTTTTGTGACATATTTTACAAACTAAATGATCATTGTATTTTAAGTTATCGGGCTTCTCGCTAGTATGTATCCTCATATGGACATCATAGAGCTCCCTCTGGTGGAGATTCTGGTGACATATTGGGCAAATATACTGATTCCCATACAAAGTTGTCGATAGGTAGCCACTTGGGTGCTCTGAAAATAAACACAAACCTCAGCTCAGTTATTAATTCAATAAAACTTCAAATAGAATCATACATAAGAAGAATCATCAGGTATCACCAAGTGGCTCCCCTTAGTTGGGTGCTCTGAAAATATGTATATATTCATAAATCTTATCTGAACAATTAATTCACTAAAAATTCAAAATCATTTTTATGATACATAAGAAGTAAGGAAAGCAATGTCATCCATAATAGAGGGTTTTTTCAAGTGGCTGGCAATTAACTACACATCCCTAGGCTGCAGCTTTAGTAGATAACTGACACATGAATTACCCGACACTTGAAATGCTACCTAGTGACACATGAGAACAAATACACCCTTTTACCAGACTTATGACATTCACTTAGATGACACTTGGAATATACCCTCACCCTTAATTGTGATGGTGGCATTTAACATGTTTAAGTAAGATTAAGTGAAACCTAACTTGCATGTTTTGAACGACATTTCCAACACTCATCATGGATAAATCAAATATTGGGTCAAATTTGCAGGGATACATCAGGAGATCAATGATATGAGGGGGCATTCAAAAGATCTATATCAGAAAATTAACTGTATTTGAACAGCAAAAAGGTGGAGGGGGTTGGCAGCATTGATAGCTTAGTTCAGGGCTTTAGTTCTAGATATCTTCAGAAAATGAATGAATATTGAAGAACAACGTACACAGTATACTAGTATTATACTTATTCTTTATTGACAACACCTCAATATTGACACTAAATTAAAAAATCCTACTTGATCAAATACATCTACAATAATATACAACAAAGACAATACTAACAATGAATAGTTTCAATGCTGAGATACAAACATACCATGGTGAAACAGGTTTAAAATATCACTATGGTGTATCACTAAATAATGACTTACTTAATGTTCTTATGAGTGGAGAATAAAATCACTATTGAGAATTGGGAAATATATCTTAAAACACACACAAGGCTAACATTTCTACTGAAAATCCACAATTAAGCTCTCTTCAAGATGCCATAGTCACACAGTAAGTATCACCAAGTTGATGCTGCTGCAGGTGGGTGCCATTGTTTAAAACACCATACATTTTTGAGGTACAGTAACAAGAGTTTTGAGTTTCAACCCCTAGAGTTATTCTCAATTTTCCTTTTTATTTTGAAGACATGTTCAAGCATTGTGAACCTTCATGTGTGTCAGAAGTTTGGATCTTGAATGGAATGCCTCTTCACAAACCTCACACTGAAATGCTTTTTCACCAGTATGGATCATTTTATGTCGCTTAAAGTTAGCTAATCCTCTAAATTCTTTCAAACACATTTCACACTGATATGGCTTCTCTCTGGTGTGGATTCTCATGTGGTAATTAAAATTGTTCTTGTTTTTGGATATTTTGTTGCATATTTTACAAATTAAACCATCCTTGGATTTGATATAATTAGAGTTTTCTCCAGTATGTGTGCTTGTATCATATTGGCCACTATAGTCTGGGTTCTCCTCGCATGTTGGATACACGTATAGACCTCGGTTTCCTGCTGATGAGGCGCCACTTATATGTCCTGAAAACAGAAAAATATCAATTTTGAATATGTTTACCCAACACTATTTGAGTAAAATGAGGCCAAAATAATAATAATAATAACCATGACAATTTCAACCAATAGACCATGTTAACTAAGTCTAATATATTTCATAATGTTGTGAAAATGCCTACAATGTCTTTCATTCAAGATGAAATATGAGCAGGAATCCCTTTCCCCTAATAGACAGCACACCCAGGTGGTATCACAAGTACTACAACTACTATAAGGTATGTTGCAAAACATATCAGGATCCTGGCAGCAAAAGTATACCAGGGTTTTGGTACAAACTGGCTAGAGCACAAAGGATAGACAAGGTAGTTCAGTCACCTCATATCACATGTATATTGCCAAGTATTACAAATGTTGATTTGTGCACATATCGGCTTACTGTAAGCATTAGACAAAAAAAATATGTTGCTAATTGAAAGAGGTTTCATTTATTCACAAAAGTACAACATGCATATTTATTTGCATATTATTTTGCGTATATATTCAGTTAAAGTCTGTACTCTTAAAATAAGTATGAAAATAACAATAACTTCAATCAATCAGAGCAATTGTCAGTTTGTATCCAGTTTTTCCCTGTGTGTCTTCAAATGTTTAAGACAGTAATATTTTCTTGAGAATCTCTTTCCACATATGTCACATGCAAATGGCCTTTCTCCAGTATGTGTCTTTTTATGAGCATTCATAAGTCCAATGGATCTAAAGCTCCTTAGGCATAAATCACATCGGAAAGGTTTCTCGCCAGTATGGATCATCACGTGGTATTCCATATTACTCTTACTTAGCAAGGTTTTCTTGCAAGTTTTGCATTTATAATGCAAATTTTTCATTCCACCTTTCGTCATGTCACCATAGGTTTGGTAGCCTGCAAACAAAGATTAAAACAATTAAACTCATTGAATCGAAATAGAATAATTGGGAGCTACGATAGACAGACGGGCGTATCTCAAATTGTATATATCTTTTATGGACTCTTTGATGTCATCACAATGACATATTAATCAGTACAGTGTGCAATATACAAACAAAAATGGTGGCCATTTTGAAAATAGGCGAGGAGGGAATAACCAGGAGTCATAGGGGAGTTTTCTGTATTGATGTTGAACAGAAATAACTTAAAACGGGAATCCTATCGACAGAGGTTTTAAAACATGCCACTATAGACAGACAGACGGACAAGTGAGTGATTGCAAAAGCGCACCATGTGAGCTAAAAATATCTTAGACTAAACTAACAACAAATATATATACAAAATGACAAATGAAAAATATAAGACAAAGAGTAAGTTTAAAATACAGCATAAGAAAATGTAAAAATATCAGTGTGATGTATCATTGACACAATGTTCATCAAACTTGAATGAGTGATAGATGAGTTTTGCTAAATGTTATACTACATAAGAATTCTCATGGAACACGAGCTATTTAAATACATTATCAGGCATGCCTACGCAATTAAATTGCTTAATGGTATCAAACAAAAGTTTTCTTTCTTCTGTATTTTTTCTACAACTTATTCGATCGAAGATGTTGTTCATCTTCCAAAATATTACAGGCATCTCATAGACATTCATTTATTGGCTTTGGTTTAGTCTTTACGTAACGGCCAAATTCTATGTTTAACTTGTGTGAACTGAGCCTAAACCTGAAAATAGCTTGTCTATAGTTTTATTTTGAATATTCAAATAAATTTCACTTTCAAAGACATTTATAAAGTTCTCAAAATAGGGTATTTGAGTATATCTTCTGTCAATTGGTTTTCATTATTCTGATGTAAATTCTTAGTTATTTTCATCATCAATCTTTTGAGTTTGCCAATATGAAAATGAATCACAGGTTTTAAGAACATCAATGATTTTCGTGACCATGTGTCTTTGA